TACAAAACGAGTCAACATCAAGGCTTGATTCATAGAGGCAAAGTTATCATTAATATTACCGTTTTTCATCATTAATGGTAAGGAAAGCAGTTTGGATTGATAAACAATTAACTCGACTTTGGTAACTTTTCAAACTTCATTTTCTGTTAATGTTGATAGTTTTCCAATTTATGTAAGAAAATTAAATTTCAATTGAATGAACATTCTTTTACTATCGTTTTCTCTCTTCGAACAAATCATTGATTTTCAATTTTCATGTTCAATTTTTTCGACTCATGTTTTGCTTGGATAAACTTTGTTGGCAACAAAAAGATATTCAAGGGATTCAGATGATGGAATATAGATTTTAAAGTAATTTATTGGAAAATTCAACAGCAGCTCAATTCGTTAGTTTTCTTTCGTTGGAAGTTAATTGTTGGCCAAAAATCATGATTCAGGTTGATGAGTATTCAGTTTTTCTAAAGGGTGTTGCGCTTAGCTCATGAAATAAATATGCTTATTGAACCTTTAAAATCCTTTGTGCTTGCACTTGGATTGTGCTTAATGGGATTATCCATTGAGATAAGATAGCTGGCAAGAATAAAACGCAACACCCTTTAGTTGTTTCAAGTGCTTAGCTCATGAAATAAATATGCTTATTGAACCTTTAAAATCCTTTGTGCTTGCACTTGGATTGTGCTTAATGGGATTATCTGATTATCTTGTCGGTCAAAAGACTAAATCAACATTTTATCCTTTTCCTTCTTGTCTATTCACCTGATGTTCATTTTTGAGAAAAAATTATTTCCATCAACTTATTAACTCTTAGTTAATCCATTTTCACGTTAACAATTGCTAAATGAAATTGTATAATAAAGGTTGATTGAAATGTTGTCAAGAGTTGAAAAGGTTATGAATCGAGATAAAATATTTTCTAAGTTAGTCGAGAGTTGAAATCGCTGAAGCGCAGTTTCTATGAAAAATCGTTGATTCGGGTCAAACTCAAATTTCGGGTTCGAAGCGAAATTGGAAAACCAGAAAAAAATCGAAATTTATCTTATTCTCAAGATGCAAATTTAGTAGCTTAAGGATCATCCGATTCCATTGATAATTTGACTTCAGGTTCAGCCTTAGTTTTGCATCAGTGACAACTGACAATGTTGGCTTAAAACTCAGTCTTACCGAACAATAGTTCAGCTTTTCTCGGTTAGTGTTAAACTTGAAAATTTCGTTCGAGCTTTTGTATTTTGGAACTCGTCTCGAACCAATGAAAATTTTAGAAGCAATCAACTTGAAACTCGAAAATCAGGCCTCTTTATTGGTTTGGAATGAATGGTTAAGTTGTCAATTTAATGTTGATTATTTTCAATATGTAATTTGTTTCTGAATGTTTTTAACTAGAAGAGTAAAAATGAGCAAAATTTAATGAGAAATGGTTAGTTTTTCATCAACAATTTGAGAGGAAAATGTTTCATGCACATGAAAGATATATTTATAATGGGAAATGGAAGGAAAGAAAAGGCCTGAAAACTGAAACAAGAGATAAAATTTTATAATACAATTTTACTGCAAGTTGATAACTGTTCGTCTCTCACCAAATGCATTACAAACCAATATTATTACGAGAAGAACTGGAAATTTTTCATATTCATACATAATCTCAATCATCTTATACTGACTTCGTCAGCATTGTCATCTCATTCAATTGCTATATTATTCCATTTACATCACAATTCCCATCCAATTTATTATATCATCTAATATGAGTTTCATTCTTTTGCTGTAAAACAAAAATAAAACACAAAAATAAACATCGAATAGAAAATGATAGCCAAAATTCTTATTCTGTTTTTTTTCTTAATTTGGTTCGTTCGCTTGTTTTCCAGTTTTTGTTCACTGCAAGTACCAACCAACCAACCAACCAATAAAGCCTGAAGCAAAGGGATACAGAATGATAATGATAATGATGAGAATTGAAGAAGTGAAAAAGAGAATGAAAAGCGAACATCGAGAAAAGAAGAGAAAAAAAACAAAAGAATGCGAATTAAACCCAAAGGAGCTTTCAAAACAATGTTAGGTTAATTTTTGTCTCAATGTGGTTAGATAATGTTGAGGAAAAGACGATTGAAATAGAAACAAAACTCGCCCGATTAGATTACTATTTTTGTTTACCTTTCATCCAAGTTATCATTTTGTATTACCTTGAAAGTTATCATATTTCCTCCCTGAACATCAACATCCCTATCATAATAAACAACTGTAATCGATATCAGAACTCAACTTTTCCTCTTTTGCCCTCAAACAGAGCAAATGTTATCAACTCATCTGCATGTGAATGCAAAAGTAACCCATTGATTAGCATAATTTTCATGTTAATAAACAGTCGAGTTGGAGGTACAAGGTTGGCTCTTGCTTGTGCTACAAGGTTGGACTTGTTGGGTTGCCTCTTTGCATCTTTGTTGGGTCGTGAAAAGTTTTTTTTTGAGATTTTTCTTCTTCGACAAACCTTGACTCGTTGACATTTGAATCGAGTTGTTGAAAGGTTTACGCAATTTTCGTAATTGCCATGAATCATTGATTGTCTTTTACAGTTTACATTCATCGATCTTGACTCAACTGTAGCTTTGATTAACGATCATTATGTTTATCAATGGCAATTTGATTCAACTTGAATCACTGTTTTTTTCTCAATTGAAATCGATAAATATTTCTTTTTGTTCTGCTCAATTGTTTGTGGTTAATAAAAATTGATGGATTAATTAAGGTTAATCTGGTCAAAAATGAAATGACCGTGATGACCATTGAGGCACGAGAAAGTTGGAGAGTAAAAGTTTTATTGATTAATGAGAATGAAAATTTTTCAGGAAAATAAGTTTTGACTCTTGTTGCATCAACATTGAACTTTGCAGGTCACATGAATCATCAGTGATGTGCGTTAATCGACTCAATGAAAAAATATTGAGCCAATTAAATTTGAAAACTATTCAGTTGATTGAATTTTCGGTGATAAAAGTTTCAAATTAAAAGCAAATGACAAGTTTGGACCTTTACTAAAGAAGACATTATCACTGCCCAATGGTGCTCATTCAATGTTTGGAGCTCTTACACGTTTGCCTGTGTCACCCTTTAGTCATGTTTGTGTCAATTTTATTTGCTCAACAAACAATAAAAAACTCAATTTGAATGAAAAATGTTTCGACTTGCTTTTCCCGTTTTCAATATCGTCAATTATTAATCAGGTAACATTTTGTTGCCTGCAAAATTGTTTTATTATAGATTCTACGGTAACCATTTACTGGGTCAATATTGCATCATTATTATAATATTATAGTTTACTTTGAGAATAAAATCGTTATACAATGAAACATGAAAATTCCGCTCTTCAACTTGAATGATTGATGATAATTATGTTTGATCAAGTTTACTCTCTCACAGAGTAAATATTAAATGACCAGTAGTGTATTAACAATTTTTTTGTTTCTTCATTGAGCAGGGCAAAGTGATAATTCAAGGTTCAAAAATGGTTGAGTTGGGCAAGAGTGAAACATGAGATTTTAAAGATTTACCAAATGATTTATGAAGTGTTGGATGGAGCAATAGTTGAATTGCTAGTCAATTTGTTGAATAAAATGAAACAAAATTTACAAAAAGCATCATAAAAATGCAAGTTTTCAGTCTAAAAAGACGAAAATAACTTATTTTTTAAGATTTTGACTCATTTGTAATAATCCGATATAGTCTAGTAGTTAGGATGCCAATAGTAGCTGAAGTAGCTACAACTCAAAGTTCAAAAGCAAAGTTGCTGCTCCTTACCCTTTCAATCATGTGAATGTCGTCAACTCCAAGTCAACTCCAAAAATACAATTTAGTATTTAAATGAAGCAATTTGCATGGAGAAACCATCTTTCTATCTGATTGTAAGATTTGAAAATTTTAATCAAAGATTGAGTTTTATTCCCAAAGATTTTGACTCATTTGTAATAATCCGATATAGTCTAATAGTTAGGATAATAGTTGCTGCAATAGCTACAACTCAAAGTTCAAATTAATGAGCAACGGTTTCTTAAGTCCTTCAAAGCAGACACAAGACTTTCAATATTTCAAGTGTTGCAGTCAAGAGACTGAATAATGTAAATGTGGGGAAATAGCGATCTGCTATTTTCAGGGCAGTTATTAGCATAAACATAAATGTAAACAAAGTAACTTGAACTGCATTTATTATTAAATTAAACAAGGAAATTAAAAAAATTATTCTCTGGACGTTCACTCAATACATATTTGATTATACAATTTTCAGAGTAAACAAAAGTATTATTTCAAAGGATGGTGGAAAGAGGGAAAAGAAAAGGCTGAACATTTTCCTGGAATGTTACAAACTACATGTTTAGTTGTATTTGGTTTAAGAGTTTACATAATGTTAAAGATTAGAAGTGCAACCTAAAAAAACCCATCATAAATTGAAGAAATAATTGAATTTATGAAAAATCATTTCCCATGTAATTTTGAAAAAACATGAATGATCACTTACAATGGGAAAAAAGATGAATCTCAACAACTCAATAATCTGATAAGCTTGGCAGAATGACGAGACAAAAAAAGCAAATTTACGACATCACTCATTGTACAATTTAACCTGTAAAATGCTGCCAATTGTCATTACAATCACATTGCAGATGAATCTTTGCTCATGTGAAAAGGTCAAATGAATCTCTTGTTCCTAATGAAATCAAACAACAAAATCTTTTGTTTTTTTTGTTCCTTGCATCTGTTGATGAAACAAAAGGATTTCCTTAAGAAGATGGTTAATCATATTGTAAGATGATTAATTGTGAAACGGTAATCGCATCAATTAAATTGCATTACCTTGCCATTGAATCTCACACTTGAGATAAGAAGCCAAACCTTTGTTACAGGTGATGGGCAACATTACCATATAAAAAAGGTAACATTCTGGTAGTTACTCTGGGAGTTAAACATTGACTTGATAAAAGAAAGCAATCGACTGGAAATGGTTCACTTACCACATTAATAAGTTGAATAAGGTACATAACGAACTTGACTTCAACGGTCTTGTTAATAAGCTCAACAGGGCGGATAAGTTTGTTGTAATCACGAAAAAGGTCTCGAACAAGCCGCTCCTCGGCTTCGGAGCATAAAATAGTCCGGAACAAGAGGAGGCATAATAATGTGTAGGTATAAACGAGGAATGAAGATAAGAATAGCATCCAGAGCGATGTGAAACTCCTTAAAGGCGAACGCATTCAATCCCAGTTTCTTATTGGGAAAAGTAATGGTTTACTTGGATAACAATGGTCGCTGCTAACTGGGAGTGAATGTTATTGCATTGGAAGCGAGTATAAAATAATAATAAATGTTGATATAGATGATGATGAACAAGAGTGATTATGGATGATGCTGATGATGATGGTGAATTTAAGTTATCTTAAAAATGTGTAGAGTAAAAATTTTGGACACATGTAAATAGACATTTGATGGGAGAAAACTGATAACTCGAATTTTTTTGGTTCACGATAAAAGATTATCAAATTTTTGTATCGGTTTTCAGTGTTTACAGGTTTTTTGGGTTCAATTGGAAAGCTTAACGAGTTGGGTTGAAATTTTTAAACATTGACTTGCAAAATATCATTTAATATTGCGACAATATTATTATTACATTGGGAAGTGTAAAAAAATTGTGATAACTTGAACAGCTAAAAACAGAGAGTAAAGAGAGATATTTTACTTTCTTTTCCCTTTTCCTCTTTTTAACCATGAGCAACCTTTTCTTTGCTTGGTAAAAATAATGATGGATAAAAATTGTTTTCTTGGTAACCAGGAGTGTTACAGGGTGTACGATAAAGAATTGAACCAAAACTGGGATTGATTGTATGGTTAATGCGCACTCCATTTTGGTTGGCATCCACCATCAATGGTAGGTAAAAACTTGATGATACAAAGTTTGATTCAAATTGACCGCACTTTTCTTTCCCTACTTTTATTTAACCAATCAAACCTTACATCACCCTGTAACTGTAAGAAACCAAATCCTTTCACCAACTCTTTTTATCGACACTAGATGGTGGTGCTGATCATGGTCTTGAGTTACGCGGGTTTGTTTACCCTTTTCAACCGGTGAAGGTTGGATTGGGTTAGGTTGGGTTAAACTACACTCTGGCCTTGGTTCGAGTCAAGACGCTGGTTTTATTTTTTCGTGCTTTTCTTTAGTTAATTGTTAATCTTTAAAAGGATTATGTGGTCGTAGTGATTCATGAAGATGAATGTTGTTCAATTGAACTTTTGTTCTTTTACGCTCATTTTGCCTGATTATTGGATTATTTTTCAATTCATTTGAATTTGTTTGTGATTACTGTTAGATTACAGCATTATTTTTACCTGGATTTTTGTTGCAGCTTGACTAGGTTTCTTGGTGAAAAGCTTCAACATGATAGACTACTCGATGGAATCAAAATTAAATTTCCTGAGTAAATTACGCCTTTTGCAGGCAATTAAGTGGTATCTTGGTTTATTTAAAGAGATGGTGATGGTTTTGTTTACATCTTATTGGTTTTGCTGGTTGACTTCAAATTTAGGTTTGAAATGAGGTGAGACAGAGATCGAAAGGTAGAAAAATGTTCATTAATCTCATTATTTGAGCAATCATAAATTATTGTAATAAAGTCAAATCAAAAATCATGCTTTAAACAAGTTTTTTCGCTTTTGTATAAATATCACAGATAGTTAGACTCAATCTATTTTTTTGCTTAATTTTGCTTTTCTCTTTATATCGTCTTGTTGTTCATCAACATGTTGAATGGTTTCCTTGATTGTCAATTCCATCTCCTGAACAATTTGAAGATGCTTTTCGGCTCAAAACTTCTCTATCATCCTGATTAACGAAATGAAACGTATTTCCATTGGCACAATTTGCATCAAAAGAAGGATCCAAGTTAATCCATTGATTATTTCCATTGATGGATATTGGAGGGAAAAAAAGAAGAGAGGAAAATTAAATTAGTAATCAGGTGGGATTAACGTTTTCAATGTGTGTTCAGTTATTTTGTAGTTTACCTCTATTGGAGCTTTAGTTAATGTATTTAAATTTGCTTGGATGGGTTTACCATTTATTTCAAGATTATGAATCTTCAAGAATGGAAGTGCATAAACCAGAACAGATATTATTAAAAGAATAATGCCAATAGAAAGGAAAGAATAGAATGATATGGAAGAAACCAGGTAAGGCATTGAACGTAAATCAATCAATTGTTGAGCCAAATCTTTGGTAAATTCAAAATGATATTCTTGCCAGAAAACGGGAAATACAATGTCGGGAATATTTCGATATCGAAATAGACCGGGAGCTTTACTGATGGCAACATTGAGCTGAAATCGAGCAGCCATGTTAACTGTACTTCCAGTTAAAGGTTCAATATCCATCCAGAAAGAGTGTTTACTATCATTGGGTGCTAAACCCTCGACTGAGTTACGATAAATTGGATGACTGTTGAGAAAATGAGGTTGTGATAAAAGGAGAGGAGCACCGAATCGACAGGCAGACAGGTCGAAAACTCCTGAGGCAAAAGGTTCGCGTCGTGGTCGAAGAATTAAAGTGGAACCACCGGGTGGTGATAATGGTGATGAAGGCGCGGAAGAAGTGGATGGAGATGAAAGACCACCAGATGATGGTGAGGTTAAAGATGACAAAGTTGATGAGAGTGATGATGAAGGTGGATTACGAGCCAGTGAATACAATAAAGATGGGGCTGGATCAGGAAGTTTACTGATGTAACACTCATTTGGAGGATAGTCGGCTGCTGAAGCAAAATTGGTCTCATCAAAGGTATAACGATGAACTGGAAGATCAGGATAAGGTTCATGAGTTGTATTATAACGAAGATGAAGAACCCGGCATATTTCAGAGGCAAACAGTTTAATATATGGTGGCTGTTCGTAAAATTGTTCATTAGGATTATAGTCCTGGTTCACCTCTGCATTCTCATTTGTTTGGTAAGCGTTATACTGTTGCTGTTGTTGCAATAGTTGTTTGATATGATGACCATGTCCCAATCCATCATTATGAACCAATGGAGGTCCTAATTGGCCATTAGTTGATCCATTTAGTGAGTTACATTCTTCGGTAGACCAGAAATTCAAGTGATCTCTTCCATTGTATCTTTCAATCATATTGAGAAGGTTTATGTTGCTAGAGCCTGAAAAAATGGTATACAGTCCATCGTCTGTATTGTTTTTGGGAAACATGTAACCAAAACGTCCATTATTTGAAGGTATACCAGGATTGAGAAGAGGACCAAAGGTGGTTAACAAATCAGGATAACCTTCGAAAAGCAATTGTCGGACTGTTCTCTTGATAAAGAAACCTTCAGTTACCGCATCTAAAGCCAATGTAACCAAAACCCTGACAGTTGGACTTGCCCCTTGGATAAGGGTTAATGTTAACGCCAGTGGCGTATTTAAAGTTGTAATCAGCTGATTTTCATCAGTAATTGATAGAGATCGTTCGAAATGCCAAGATTTTCTTTCTCGATAGCTAAGAGTTCCATTATCATTATTGCGTACAGCAAATTTGGCAACTGATACTCGATAGGTAAAGGGTCCAATTTGTTTAAGAATGGGTTTAGCTCCTTCCCTTTCAATGGCTTGAGCGTTGGTTACATTGAAAAAGTAAAACCTGTTGTAAATAGGCAAAGGCACCTTTTCCCATAATTTGAAAGCTTTGGATCCTTCAATCAAAACCAATTTCTGTAATGAAAAGGAAAGAAAGGGAGAACATTAATAATCACAAAATTATTAAATTACTTTAATTAAAAACAGCCAGAGAAAGAGAAACACTTCGATTGGTAAAACATAACAAAACATCAAAATCCAAATCACATGTAAAGTTGAAGGGAAAGTCTATTAATATCCAAAGGGTAATCAATAAATGCAGAGAATATCTTTAATTTTCAAAATTGAATTAATAGCAATATTTGAAATAATAAAATTAACAGAAAAAGGAAAAAAACAAAGAAAAATTTGTAACAAATAAATGGCTAAAAATAAATGCATCTATTTTAAGCAAAAACCTAAGCCTGAAAGCTGAATACGACTTACAAATGAATGGAACCATATTGTATTTTAAAGACGAATGATAGTTTATGGATTAACTAAATCAACAAAATGGTGAAGAGTTAAATCATTGATTTAAGAGCAATCAATGCAATAAAAAACAGGGTTAATTTTGTTTCCAACAAAATGAGAGAATGAAAAAGACAACAATAAACCACTCGATGCTAAATTGAATACAATTTAACCTTGTTTACTTTCAATTTGATTGTTCAATCAATCAAAAAAAAGAAGCCATCTTACAATAATCCAAGAACTATTTGAGTAACAATTGATGAATCAACTCTTCAATCACTTTAATATCCATTTAATTTAATGAAAACAATCAACCCTGAGAATCTAATCATTTAGAATAAAATTCAACATTCACCAGTTAATCACAATCAATTGCAATACTTAGGTCAGTAATAAAATGCTGTCGATGAGATGAGTAAACAATAAAGTGTTAACATTGGTAGAGAGAAGAAGAAAGAAGATGAAGATTGTTAACTTGATCAAGAAACTGAGTATTGAATTATTTTTAAGGTTAATCAATTTGATGGCCATTATTTACAGATTGCCAACAATCAAATTCAAATTAACTGACACAAAATAAAATAGACTTTGGTAAGTCTAAATATACTCAAAACTAAATTTATACAGAAAGTGATTGAAGAGAAACTGGCCCAAAGAAAACTGGAAAATTTAAAATCCAAGCAAACTTGACCAGGTAGACTTGGTAATCACAGTAAGATCAAGGCTGGTCAATTGGTTGAGATGTGCAATCATAATTGCAAGTAGATTTGGTTGACCAAGAAAAATGAAAAGATTGAAAAGCAAAAAGTTCAAGTATGAAATTGAGTTGAGAGTAAAATTGAATGAGAAGAAAACTCATTTCACTTTGAATAATTTAAAAAATCAATCAGCTTAAATGAAGAAAAGCTTGATTAACAGTTAATCCAACAGGGCGTTGAATTGCACTCAAAGATTATTCAACTTGTATTCAACTTTATCTGTAAGTAAACATCAAACAGTTACAATTAGCTTGACATTAGTTTGGTTAGAAAATAATGTTTAGAAAAAAAATTTCAGGTTTGCGCTTTTCTTGACTTTCAAGCGACTTGGCATGAATAAATGGCCTTTTCTTCGTCCAAGCATCTCTTGCTTTTCATGAGACGACTTCGCAGTCAAAGTCTAGAAGGGAAAAGATCGTAAAATTTTTCCAACGCTTTGAGATTCGCTTTGGTTAAAGGTAAAAAGTGAAATTTCAATTTTTCTGGTTTAATGAATTTTGATCCATTGGCCTGCAATAGGAGATTATTAAAGAAGAAGAAAATGAAATCTAAATTTTTCAAAAAATAAAATTTTCTGTAAAGTCATGAATGTAAGTCTAGAGGTTAACTGCATCAACCTACGCCTTGACTGACTCGGTCAACATTTGATCTGTAAGACAGCCTTTGTTCAGCCATTTCCACTTAAACTTGAATAGTTCAATTTGTTGGCCAATCGATTGTTGGTCAACCTTTAATGGATAAATATTTAAATATTGTTTGACTGGCCAAAGACTCAGAAAACAAGGTCATTTGTGTTACCAGTTTGGCTTGCAGTAAACATAGCGCGTTAAAAATAACCAGAAACTTGAAGCATAAAGTATTATTAAAGGGAACAAAATTTTTCATGTTTTCATTTTTTTCTTCATTAATACCTGAGTAAATCAACGGGATTCTCGATTCAATGAACACTATTTTTGCTTCTCCACCTTTTCACCAGTTTGACAATACTGAACTACAAGAAGAAGTGCACAGAACAAAAAAAAAGTGCTCCTAGTGAAAGGCTTGAGTTATGAATATAATGAAGGGAAGTAGGGAGAGTTGAAAGTAAATGTTCAACGGCAACGTTAAAGGTAAACTCATCCAAGATTCAGTGTTATTACGCTCAACCAACCTGCAACTGTAACTGTAATAGTAAGCCAAAAAAGGTAAATATTAGGCAAATTAAATTGTTGACCTTCATTTTTGGAACCAAGGTTTATAAAGAAAGCCTGGTAATCGGGTTTCCCATCGGTGGACCTCAATTGTTCAAAATTGGTGGGGTTAACCAAGCGATGGAAAAGCGTTTAATATTGTCAATAATTTTGGACAACAAAAGCTAAGTGTAACAATTAAGGGTAAACCAGAAGTTGTTATACAATAGACAAAATAGAAAAGGAAATCCGAATTAGAATTGATTCAATTAGCAATTTAAATCCAATAAGCAGGTTAACCTTGCCTTAAAAGATTGGAAGCTTTACAATAAATTTTTACTTTTCTAGGAAAAACAAACCAAAATTTTTCTTATTCAATTTTCGTATCAAATTTTCAATCAAAAATTGACTTTAAATTGTTTAAATTTTTGGAAATTAAAATTTGAATCTTAAATAACAGTTTAAGGCTGTTATTACTTAATCTCAGAAATGGTTCGACTATCGAATGATTTTCAACTGCAATTTTAATTGTCAACCTTTAATTTCCGTAAATTTAAAGGCATCAATTTAAACGTCAACAACAATGATGATGGAAATTGTTTTTTTTATTTGTTTAAATAAACATTAAACAGTTTGATTTAACCGAATTAAGGTCAACTGTAGAATGTCAAATTTTCCGATTCTCGGGATAATTCAATTTTCGGTAAAATTTGAATCAAACAGTTGGATAAGAATTGGTTTGTGGGCAAAGTTAATGGTGAAAATCTGTGGTAAATTGAATGAACTGCAAAGAGAAGGCAAAAGAGTTGAATTGTTGATCAAAAATTGTGATTAACTTCCGTGTTTCTTTAGTCAATTGTTGAGGTGAAATAATTAAGTAGAAGCTGAACGAGACTGTTTAGGTAATTGTAATTTATAATACTTTCATCTTGTTTACTAATGATGATGAGATTGCTTGTTACTAGTGATTGACATAATGGTATTGAGAGAGACCCTCTTAATGATAATTATGTTAATCGTCTTCATCATCATCTTCACTTTTCTGATTCCGGTTTGGCGATTAGACCATGATATTGATAGTTAATAAGGTCATGGTGAGGATTAGACGGTAAAATGGTTTCACTTTTCAACTTGAACTGACAAATGGAAGTTTAAATTGCAAGTAAATTTAGAAAGACTTTTCAAGTAAATTGTTCATCACCATCGTTCATCAGTCTGGTTCAATTGACTTCAATCTTCACAATTGATTGTTGTTTAGCAACTTCTTTGTAGACAAATTGATTAGTCAAAATTGTTGGCCAACTTTTTCTGGTTAAACTTGAAAATTCTGGTTCAATCTGGTGTTTGACTTTTATGTTAAAAGGTTTCATTGTTGAACAACAATCGATGAAGGCTTTGAAGGAAATGAAAAGATCAGCTGATGATTCGTGGGTCGACCTTTGGTATTGTTTCTTTATTTTCACCATTCAATTGACTAACTGAGATTCTCATCAGATTACATGGTTTACACTCCCCATAAAGAGATCATTAAAAGTGACCCTCTTTTACAGTCAGTGAGAAACCTTGATAATGATGAAAGTGAGAAGCAAATTGTAAGACCTGTTTAGTGTCCGGAAACTGGTAAGTGACCTGAATCAGGTCAAAGCGTCCACTAATATTAATCAATCTCATTCATTACTCGAAACTCAATTTCTGTTGTTAGTCTGTTTTCTTGCTTTCACTTCGTTCGCCAATTTGAATCATTATTTTTCTCTTATTTTTGTTTCTTCTTTCGGCTTTCCAATTGTCTTTTGATTGTTATTTTACATCCAATAATAAACTTGATATTAAATCTGCTTTAGGAAGAATAATGAATTGGAAAATTAAAATTAGTGAAATCTGAGGTAAATGAGTAGACAATCAACTGTTACATGTATCAATATGTGAACATGCAATCAAAAATGAACATTACGCTTTCGTTTTTTCATTTTTTTCTTCTCTCTTTTTTCCAATTTTACGGTGATTGAGTCTATTTATTGGGATAAAAAATATTTATGTTTGCAATTAGTGAATCAATCAAAGTCTTGTTATCTGGACAAGCAATTGAATAATGGAAAAAGCTGGATTTAGATGAAAGAAACAACAAAATAGACTGAAATAGAATGGAAAAGAAACATTAAATGAGTAAAAAATGTTGGATGAGAAAAAAAAAGATGGAAAAATTGGTGAAAAAGATGATGTTGAGCAAACAACTTTAGATTTCTCTCTTTTTTAAATCAAATTTTTACAGCAAACAATTTCCTTTTCTGGAATACGCTTTCGCTTGACTTATTTAGCCAAACACGGGTTGGATGATGGTAAACACTGAGGTTGGAAGAAAAATACAATTGAAATACAAATCAACAAGGTTAATCAATTGTCATTTCACTTACTTTTTGGATACTTTTCTGCAGAAATTCGGGAACAAAAAGCAGTGCAGCTATTCCAAGTCCAATTAAAATAAATCCGACCAGTCCGATGATGGCTGGTTTAAACATTGTCCAGGCAAGTAAAACAAGGCAACCAAATTGGTTGGCAAGAAATGGGTAAAAATTGTTGATCGAATCTGGCAGAACAGTAATAAAGCAATTCCAATGGCAATTAGATTGAAAATAAATCCAACTGTTCCATGATGTCAGTTGGATCAGGCATTAACCATACAACACGAAAAATATAAGCTGTTTACTTTGATGTCAGACGATCACAAGGTAAGTAAATGTAAAGGAATAGAAGACTCAATAATTGTTGATTATTTAAAGATATGTTAACATGAAAATAAACTGTGATATAATAAAACAATAGCCAGAGAGAGATGGAGAAACACGGTAACACCAAGGATGAAGGTGAAGACTCTGGTTAAGAGAATGGAATAAAGAATTAAGAATTAACCAAAAATAATAAGATACAGGAATAAGGACCCAACTGTTGTAAGGCGATAGTAGTCAATGGCGTAAGGTGGAGTAATCACTGATGTCGAGTCGATTGCGCCCGGATTGATATGAAACAGTGGAAGTAAGGTTGACGGAGAAATGAGGTGTTATCATAAACCTAACCATTTGGGTTTCACTGCCTCTCAGAGTAATCGGTGGATATTCAGGAAACGAGGAAAACGTTGTTACCATGATTGAGAATAAATAATTAATATGTTGATGATGATGGCGATGGTGGTAATAATAATGTTGTTTTTTAGATGTTTATTATGATGATTACTTATGATCAAAAAATAATTGTTTAAAAACAGAAAGCTTAACAAGTTATGAATAGCAGGATAAGGTTGCTTGTTGGTTCCCTTGTTTTCTTGGTTTCACAATGTTTTAAAGAAAAATGAAAGGAAGGAAGAAGATGACAAAGGCTGGAAATGAATTTTTCATTGGAGAAAGGATTAGATCAACGAACCATGTAATCAGTTTCTCTCATTTTCATTCAACTTGTATAAAGATTTTGATTGTATTTGGATAACTCAAATTGCGCTCGAAACGGTGTCAACATTTAATGCGCATGCGTTTAAAAGAACATCATAAACATGAGTTTATGCTTGAAACCAACATGTGCTGTTTCTGTTTGAAAACAATTTAAAAAAATCAACATATTAAACTCTTATTTTCTTTATTAGTGATTTATTATAGTTAATTATTTAGTTCAATTGATAATTCATTATGGAAGACGATCAAATTGTCGATGGTGAGTTGTACTTTTAATCGTTTGTCTATCTGCTATTTCTGTTTATTACATGTGTTTGCTTGAAAATTTCATTATTGATTTTTTGTTTCCTTCTTTACAGATCCCTGGTCTATCGAAATACCTCCACTGAAAAAAGATGAACTTCCTAATTGTATTGTTGCGGAATCACGTTTTGCCACACTATTTCCAAAGTACAGGGAACACTATGTCAAGGAATGTTTTGATTTGATTGTAAAAATTTTGGAGGAGTATGAAGTTAAAGCGGAACTTGATTTGATGGAGGGTAGTATTACTGTATCAACGACAAAGAAAACTTGGGATCCGTTTATTATTTTGAAAGCTCGTGATATGGTTAAATTGATTGCTCGTGGAGTTCCCTTTGAACATGCAAACAAGGTCTTACAAGACAATGTGGCCTGTGATATTATAAAAATTGGTCGACTGGTCAGGAAGCGAAATAGATTTATAAAGCGACGACAACGACTGGTTGGTCCGTCTGGATCAACCTTGAAAGCTATTGAACTGTTGACAGATTGTTATGTACTTGTTCAAGGAAATACTGTTTCAGCAATTGGACCTTACAAAGGGTTACAGCATGTCAGACGGATTGTAATTGACTGTATGAACAACATTCATCCTGTTTATAATATCAAAGCCTTAATGATTAAAAGAGAACTGGCTAAGGATCCAAAATTAAAGAATGAAAATTGGGATCGCTTCCTACCTCAATTCAAATCAAAGAATCTATCTAAGCGAAAGAAGCCACTTAAAGTTCGAACCAAGAGTGATTACACACCGTTCCCACCACCACAACCAGAATCCAAGGTAGATCAACAACTAGCGTCTGGTGAATACTTCATGAGAGATGAAGATAAACGTTCCATCAAGAAGAAGGAGAAGGCCGCTAAACAAGAAGAGGCTAGAAGAACAAGACAAGAAAAACGAGAGAAGGTATTCATTCCTCCAGAAGAAGATGACAATAAATCAAAGGACAACTCCATGAAGAAGGAACCTCAACCCGATATTGACATTGAAAAAGTTAAGCAAAGGATTAAGAACTTTCAGAAAAAAGGATTCAAGAAACAAAAATCTCAGGATTGATTCGCGTGACTGAATTTGTGATTCATCAACAGATCATGAGTCACAGTATCTTTTAGGTCTAATTTTTTGATTCCCAAATTAACTCAGACTCTTGTTGATTGATTTAAATGATTTCTTGATTGTAAATTAAATTTTATTTATTCTATCTCAATTTTTCTGTGTTTTGCAAATTCTTCAAATTTTTTCAATTCACTTTTATAATCTGTGACTTCTTTTTCGTAAAAATTTTTCAAAAACTTGAGTGAACCACGAATAGTTCCTGATATGTATAGTTGTCTAAGACTACATGGCGTGTCTTTGATTTTTTTAACAAATGGAATGGCTGTTGTCATCATGTAATGAGGTCCAAATCGACAACAGAAAAGACAAATACGAGTTTTTTTAGATAATTTTTTACAAAACAAAGAGCCCATCACGGATCCAAGGCCAAAGTCTCCATGAATAGTCAACACAGCATCACGGATTGCAACTACAATATCACCCTCTTCAAATGGTAGACCCTCAGAAGATCTATTGTCATTCAAAACACACTCTAGAAGGACATAACGTTTTTTCACTCGAACCATTATGATAAAAATTTAAAGATTTGTTGATGTCCAATTGTAATCAAATACAGAATCTTGTCGTCCACGTAGAAGCTGCAAAAAACACATAAATGAAATGAATTAATGAAAGGCAATTGTTCTGTTATAAAATACACAAATTCAGACCAACTTACCTCAAGAATAGACCAGTGCTATTGTTTGAAACAGTCAATTAAAAAATCTAAACGAGTAATAAAGAAAATGGAATTGAGAGTTTGATTCCAAAGCGAGAACAATGTAAAAGGCACTTATAAAGCTACTCGTAACTCAAAAATCAACCAAAGAAACGATCAAATTACCATTGAAACTACATTTTCATTAGCATTTGCATTAACTAAATGCATTCAGAACAATCAAATTAGAAATACAAGTTATAAAATTGTTGAAAATAATTTTAAACTCATGTCATGCGTTAGACTTACACTTATAAATAAGCATGGGTTTGTTTTCATTGCTCATATGGTCATAACCGGGTTTGCTCTAACCTGCTTCCATCTGCAATATTTTTTTTGTGATCAGAAATGTTTTTGATTTAATTTTGTGTCATTAATTTTTCCTTTTTTAAATTAAAATAGTGCCAACATCAGCATGTATATGTCAAAATATATTTGTAGATCAATTATCAAGCAAATTGGTTCAAGAGGCATCCATCTTACTCCAATCTTTCAGGTATTATATTTTTATCATTGAATATCCATGCAACCTTTGATTTAAATATTAATGTTTACTTTTTCTCTACGTCTGATTCCAGTCTGAATATGATAAACTGTACACTAGACCAGTTGCGAGATGGACAGCACTGGATATGATTAAAGAGAAATTTGGACTCTATCGCTACAATAGAGCGGTATGTATCCCAAATATATAATTACAAACCATGAATATACAGTTAATGATAGTTAATGTGCTTCTCATTTATATCTAACAGCGAATGCAAGATTCTTCAGTATACATGTATTTATCTATATCAGATGATTTACCCGTCTTAAATTTTTTTAAATGTGAGTATTTTCATTGTAAGATTACACTATTCATCAACATACTCATTTCTGGTTACTTTTTATTCCAATAGATTGCGAATTGCCTGATACTTACTTTTCTTGGTATCTCGTCACACAACTTCATGTTTGGTAATTAACTAACTTCTGAAAAAAATTGATGATTCCTAAAAATTGGTAATTAAACCAAGCTATTGTGGAAACCTGACGCAAACCAGTTATTCATAAAACCTGAGTAGTTAGGCCAAGATTATTTACTTCTATTCACAGTTTAGTCAAGAAGTTTCGTTCCAACACAATACAATCTTAACCTATGTGAAATTCACCTATTTTAGTTAGATTTATTCCGTAAGCGATTCTAATATAATCAAAATCCAACCATTTAATTCCAAATTTACGAATTTTATGGCTAAAAGAGTGAAAACATGAAAAGACCAGTAGATATCGCCATCTAGCTTTCATATTGTTACCAACTCAACATCAACTTTTTTCTTGTCTTGATTTCCTTTCCCTTTCGACTAATTTAAATCAATGAATTCTTCTCATTACAGGATGATTATGACTCAGTGTAGTGCAGCAGGGTCCGATGGTAAATACATAAATCAAGAATTGGTGAAGAGGTTATGGGAGGACGCTCACGAGAGAATGAAAAAACTCGGGGTTTGTTTGATTCCATCGATGGCATAAAAACTATCCAATAATGATTCTTATAAATGCGTGCTTTTAAAATTAAATTTAAGCTAAAATATAGTCTATTATGAAATAGCAAGCTTGACAATGTCAGATTTTAAAGGCTACAAACATCTTGGTTTGCAAAATTATCATTACTATAGTTTTTATACTGATTTACTCAGCAAATTGTGAGAATAATGTAATTATCTAATTTGTTTTCTTCTCTTTCATTGATTTTTTAGAGATTTGACGTCAAAACACAAAATGAAGTCATGAAAGATCTGCATGGTGTTTTTATAGCTTCATTATTTGGATATGATGAGGTAATTATTTGACTCTTTAACAATCAAATTTGCATTGCAATGCATATAATTAATATTTTGTTTCTTTTTTAAGGGCCTTCTATCAGATGACAAAGTTTTAGCAGCTGCCTTATGGCGACATTACTTCTCATTTTCCGATGTTGATCCACTTATTTTAGAAATGATGGTGTCATATGTTCGAACTCAGGTAACTATCAAACTCATCATCATGCCATTGAGATTGAATTACGTCCAATACTTTCTCAAGTTATGATATTTATTTTGATATTCAAGAGATACATTGAATGATTATATTACATAATCTTGCAACATATACTTTCAGTTTTCTTAAACTTCTAGTCTCATAACCAACAATGTTTCCAGTGTTACTTTCGCTTTTTGACCTCAATTTCTAATTACATTTTACATCATTTGTTTAGTTGAAGCATATATCTGGCCTTAGCAGCGACTATTTACTGTCTCGAGGACGAATCGTTTGGAAACCATTTGATCCACTTATACGAAAAGAAGATTTGCCGAAATTGAAAGTTGTTCAGAGCTAATTTATCCCAATGGTTTTGTATTTATATTCAACTAGGATCGTTATTAAATAGTCCCAAATGTTTAATTAACGTTGCTCACTTTTGTATGCAAGAATTGCTCTTGAATTAGTTTCATATTTATTAGCAAATTGATTATCTAAATCAATTAACTCCAAGTTAATTGTGTATCATAAAATGTAGCTATAAATTAGTGAGCCTATTATAAGCCTTAATAGCTCAAATAGTAATTGTGTGACTACTTTCATCATTGCTTCATCAAACCTTTCCAATTATCTTCACCTTTTCTGGTAATAATACCGTTCGTTTTATCAACAAATGTTACAAGCAACTTTGAATAGGTAAATATAACCTTTCTGTTATTTTTTTATTATTAAACAAACAATGTAAAAATTAAATTTAACAGTAAAATTTACATTTTATACATAAATATTTAAATATGAACACGCACACGTAATTATTACAATATTTCACTCATTTCTTTTTTATTTTCTGACTCTTTTTTCAGGATCCTTTTTGTTGGTAATTTGAATGCAAATGGAAATATCAATCCAATGTTGTGTCGAAAATGATTATGAAATGTATTCTGTTGTTTTTGTGAAGACATCTTCTGGAGGCACTTTAAGGCAAATTAATCAGCCAATTGTCAACGAACGAACCAAGTAATGGAATACTGTTGTTCACAATTATTGACTTTATTTCCAATGGAGACAACTTTTCATGTGACATTAAACCGGAGTTGACATTGAATAAGGTTGAATATCACTGTTCATTGGAAGTCGAGTTTCCATCAAGCTTATTGGATTTGATGTATCCTGTTTAAATAATAATAAGAGTAATATCAAACGCATTAGAAACATACATGACAATGCAAGTAAACTTTATCACTCAACTCAAAATGACAATTCAAAGGAACAAACTAGGAATCAGGGAAAACTCGGAAAGAGGACAGAAGCAGAAAAAAACGCAACGGACAACAATTTTTATCCAAGATTTAACGACGATTGTTTGAACAATTTTGATTGACGCCAGTTGACAAAGGAATAGAGAGAAACAAAGATTAACAGTGAAAAACTGGTTTCAGGATGAAAAGAGTCATCACTTTTGAAAATAGTCTGAAAGAAACTGGTAAAGTCGAAAAGTCATCAGCTGAAATCTTTTATTCAATATTAAAGTTAAATTGTCAAATTTATCCAATCTAGTGAATTGATTGAGACTGTGAGCTGAAAAAGCGACTTGATTTGGCTGAAAACCTAAAGATTGTTAACAATGTCGATGCCTAATGAATCCCATGTCTGGTTGACCATTGATTTACTACTTTCGTCTCAAATTACTGATTGATAATCAAAATTTGACGCTTTACCAATGAAATGATTTTCCTCTATTTTTATGTTGCACAGTAAATATGAATCTTCATTTTAGTCGTCTATTAAGTTAATTTTTGTTGATTGTTAGTTTACTCTTGTCAGAGCAATGGACAAATGAGTGGGAATTGAAAACGGAAAGCTTCAAGTGTAGGAAGAGTGAAAATAAGAAAAGGATTGATTTTCCAATTAGTTGAGAAGCAATTTATTATTATTTAACATTATTGAATTGTGTTGATCTTTATTTTCACCCTGTGATTTGCTGATATTTCAAGTAATTTATCAAGAATATTGGATTGTCTCTTTTTATTTCTTTGTCAACTTGACGATGTAAAATGTATATTATTGCTCTCGATAAAGTTACTTTTTTTGTCACTCAATAACGATTGTGATATTTTTTTCCCTTTATTAAAACAAATCAGTCAAGCTTGTTATTAGTTTGATGTGAACCAAGGCAAAAAGGCTTCAATTGAACTGTGATAAAACATTGTATAGATCAACACTAAAAATGATGGCAAATAATGGCATCGATATTTGATAGTATTGGGCCTTTTAAGCACTAAACTGAGATCATCTTTTCTTATAAATCTCTTTGTTATTTATCTGATTGGGACAATAAATTGTCTCAACAGTCAATCAAGTCAAAACTGATCAGATGGGCGTCACTGGTAATCCAAGTTGAAAATTTAGTTGAAAATGTTGATCAAGTCGAGTTGTTGATTAACTGTTAACCATTTATTGAGTTTAGCTTGGCTAATGAAGGTTTACGGTTAACCAATTTACCTTTAAGATATGCTGATGCTCTTGGAATTGAATGAGAACCGGAATAAATTGACCATCATTAAGGCAATCATCAGATTTATTGGTCATTTTATCCTTGTGTGATACACCATCAATCAATTGTCACCATTAATGGTTGTTGGTACATTAAAGTGTATTAAGATTAAACATCAATGTTGAGGAACGAAAGCAAACAAAAAATAAATATAAATATATCCATGGAATAATATGAAGAGAGAGAGAAAGAAAAACATGAGAAGAGAAAAAAATGATTTCAATTAAGTGAGATTTTCATGAGTTTCAACAAAAAACATGGTAAAACAAGTAGCTTAACCTTGCCCCGATAAAGTCAAATTCAAGTCAAGGTACAGTTGAGACAAAACATGATGAAAAATATTGTTTCTTGAAGAGTTGGACTAAAAGTCAGAAGTCTGACTAAAGGTCTTGGGAATGATTTTAAACAAATTTGATTGACCGCTCTATCAAAGGGTTTACGAACAAGATAAAAGAGGGTGTTAATATCCATTGTTTACATCTGGTCATAAGTGAAGTCAATTTTTGGAGTGAAACATTCATTTTTACTTCAATTTACTTTATTTTTAGGCTTTTCTGACATGAAAATATCTTCTGGTTAAGTAAATAATTACATAATGTTGGAAACCATATTTACATTTTACGATTAAAGTCTATAAATTGTCTTGTTGAACCAAATCTTGAATTTACTTTAGTTAACTCAAAAAACCATTAGAAACAATGTTACCAGATAATGTGTCTCGCCTTGAATTGCAAGTTAACCTAAAGGTTTATATTGGTGAAAATTGAAAGGCTTACCTGGTCAAGTATATTATCGTCAATCGGGTGTGTAATCAATTGAACATGAATATTGGAAGCAGAATAATCTGGATAACCATGTTGACTGTAATTATCTAATTGTGTAGCCAAAACGGTCTCATTTTTATCCAACATTTCCTCTTTGCTCCATTTTTCATCATAAGTAATTGCCTCATTAACTGGTTAAAATAGAAACGTAATATAATAGTTTCATTTAATATCAAGAGCTGAACCATTGAAACAACATGAAAACAGATGAAAATAAAGGCAAACAACAAGAAAAATCCAAGAAGACGAAAGTAAAAGTTGAATGTAAAAAAAGTACATTTAGTTTTCATGGACAATTGAATAAATTGGCTAAATGTACATATAAAGACAATTTAAATTGTTGACAATCTGGTCAAGGCAAAAAATATTCAAAGCTGGACAGGAAAAGACAAAAATGTCGAACTCGAATTACGTTAAAAGACATTTTTCAAAATATTACTTTAACAAGTGAATGGGAAACCAAATGACTTTTCAGTTAGCTTCTTTCAAGGGAAACCCTTGAATGGACAAAATGTTGGATATGAGAGCAAATTGTTGATTAACCTTTGGTAAAACATTTCAATTGTTTCCATTCTGGTATTCATTTTCTGTTTTCGATCATCATGATGATTGAATCATTGATAATTCGCCTCTTTTACTCGAAATAATGTTCAACTCTTTTCTTTCCTCACGTTAAGTTCGGAAGTTGCTCAGATAATTTTAATGTTTCCATTCATTTCCTTTTTCATTATTTGAAAACTTTGCCTTCCGTTGCTCCTTTAATGGGTAAAACATATTATTATTATTATCCAATGTTTATCATTATGACCTTTAAGAATCTGTTCAACTGTCTTTTCAAATGGAAATGCCATTTCAATTCAAGATTTAACCGGAAATTTACATCAATCATATTTTTGATGAGAAAATAAGAGTTGAGAAAAAATGTTCCAAACACAATTTCGAATTGACTTTCGTTTTGACTTTATTCAACCCAATCGAATGTTTTTTTTCTTCAATTCATTAGATGCGTTTGAATCATCCAATGGATGCAATAATTGGAAAGACAATTGGATCAAAGTGTAATCATTGTCGGTTTGCATTATGATAATCTGCGTCTTTACGGTCAATTTGAGTAAAAAAAACTATCATTTCACTTTAAAGGATAACAAATTTAAGCCCAATTTGATTTTACTGAATATATAAGCACTTACTAAATATTAATTTATTTTGATCACCTGAACCAATGGCCTTATCCATGTATACCTATGCTAATTTCAAAACAAATACAATAAAATTTAACTCGAGCTGACATTTAAATAACCTTCAAGATACCAGCTAAGGTGAGTAAAGAGTAAAAGTTGATTTGATCATTCGCAGGTGAATTACATCGTATCATAATCTTTAACTTTTACAGTGTTAGCTGAATTCAAAGAATGAGTTTCTATTGTCATCAATAATGATATTTATTCAGATGTAAATTAATAAGTAAAAATGAGTAACCAAGCAATTAAGAGTCGGTTACCAAAATGCTTCAATACAAGGAAGGATATCAGTTCAAGTTTCAAGCTTGTCAAGTTTTTCATTATTTCGATTACCTAAAACTACAAAAATAAGTCGAAATGCAATTGACAAAAATCGTTTCTCTCATCTTGCTAATTGCTCTATTCACTTTCATTGGTTTAAAAATGGTCCGCGCACAAGGTACGTATTTAAACCACGCAGCTTCTGAATAAAAAATAATTTCATTTCACGTCCAAGTTAATAAAGTTTGCATTTGTTAATGAATCCAGAGACAGCTCTAGGTGCTTTAGGTGGAGCTCTTACCGGTGCGATTGGAAATGAAATCGATATGGTTGGAGATGAAATCGGTATGGCTGGAGATGAACCTCTTGTGTTCGGAGAACCTGAGTATTCTTAATGATGTAAATCATAAATAAACTATGAAAAACTAACCATAGTGGATTGGACAGTATATTTTCTGACTATTAAAGATAGCTTATTATACAAAAAATAAAATAGGATAAATCACAAATTTTGAATTGATTTTCTTTGCATTCATACGAGATATCACTTCAAGTTTTAAGCTTGTGAAGTTTTTCCATTGTGTTTTCAAATTACCTAAAACTACAAAAATAAGTTAAAATGCAATTAAAGAAAATTGTGTCTCTCGTCCTCTTCATTACTCTATTCCCTTTCATTGGTCTAAATATGGCCCAAGCACAAGTAAGTTTTTAAATCACGCTGATTTTGATTAGAAAATAATTTCATTCGTTATCTATACAATATATAAAGTCAAACTATGAAATTTTTGCGGGGAGATTGTGGCCAAACTAAACGGGTTCTAAAGAAAATTCTCACATAGGATGAAAGCCATGATTAAACTACAATCGCAAAAAATAATTCGAACTTTCTCGGAATTCAGGTTCCTGAGAAATCAGCGTTTAAACAGGGTAGGGGAAAAAAGCAGAATCCGTATCTTTTACTATTGACTATGGGGGAAAAACTTTTTGGTTATTCGGGTTGATGGTTTATTGTTGGTTTAGAAGGATAAGTAAAACCGTCTTTCGAGTAAAGAGTTAAGTGAAAAATGTAGTACCTTAACTGTACAGAAAGATTTCATTCTGTTCAGCTGTATAACCAGATTTTATTTTATTTTTTAGTTTTTCTCATTGACGAGGTTTTTCATTAAGAATTCGAGTCTTTAAATATGGATTGAATTTATTGTATTTCAGTGAAAAAATTACGATCAGTCATGATCGGGGGTTCCACTTGTTATTAATAATTCAGGGACAGATGTTTTAGGTGGAGCTCTTAAAGGCGCAGTCGGAAATTAAACAGAGTTGCTGGAGATCGGATCTCCTGACTATAATGTCCAGTCTTAATGATGTAATTCGGGTACTAAACCATAAAAAGCTAACCATGAATGGATCGGACAATATATTTTCTGACTATTGAAGACAGCTTATCTTATAAAAAATTTGATGGATCACAAATTTCGAGTTGATTCTCTTTGCATTCATTGAGCCTTTTTAACTAAATTACAATCAAATTGAGAGAAGCAAGCCAAACTCTTTGAAAAACGAACATCTTGGCAGAGAAAATACTATTTTTGATTCCATTTTTTCTTTTTGTTTAACCTTTTTCTTCATTAGATACACCAGACAAGTTTCACAATCTGATGATTTATGAGGCGAAAAGTGAATGGAATCAATTTTCACCAGGAAATAACCAAAGGTAATAATTACCTGAATCATTGATTCTCAAAGGTATTACATCGGGAGTTCTGATGTTTGATGATTTTGGGCTTATTTTATTTGATTTTCGACTCAAATTTGGACTTTTGGGTTTTCAAATTTTCCAAGTAATATGAAACAAATAATGAAATTAAAGTGGAAATTAATACATTGAATTATCTCATTTAAAATGAAAGGTTGATCGAGTTAATTGTTAACCAAATAAACCCTTCGATATCATACCTTGCCTTTGAATCATCGTCACGTGGTACAATAGATTTGCGTCTTTTCGAGTTGAATGCGTAAATTGATATTCCAATTAATCCGAGAAACGAAAGAAGTCCAATGCATGGAAATAAAAAGGACTTGTAAAGATGATTCAATTCTGTAAGATGAAAGGCAAAGGAGAGAAAAAACAGAAAATTTAAAAACATTGAAACAAGTGGAACAAAGCAAATGTTGAAATGTTTCAACAAAAGTTCAAAATCAGTTTCATCATTACTTCAACAGCTTCTCTGAATCAAAATGAAAAGCCTCAAGAGACGCTTTTCAACCTTTTTTCGGAATCAAAATGACCAACAAAAATGGTCAGTAAAACTGGAGTAGAGTTTCATCGAAACTCGTGAAGTTGAAATTTAGGTTCAACCCAAGATACTATCCATTGAACAGAAAGACTAAATTTCAATAAAAGAACCTTTCATGAAAAATCGAAATATTTTTCGTTTTCAGATAGAATAAAGAATAAAATTTCTAAAAAAAGGAAATGCAAAGTTTGAACCCTTTGAAGTCAACTTTGCAAATTAATTTCATCCAATTAAATAACTGATTTTGTCCATTTCAACGTCAACCTTTCAACACTTTAGTCAACTCTTTTCTTCGGCCAATTAAACTTTGAAATGTTAAATTGACCAAAGCAAAGTTGCTAATGAGTAAACCTTGAAATTGTCAATTTACAGGTTGCAATTGAATTTCGAGAGAAGAGAAAAAACGAGCGAACTGAAAATGTCAGTAGCTCATTCAATTAAACAAAATTTCTCGATAAACCTCTACTAACCTTGCAATTATATTGCACCATTTACACCTGTAAATCTACTAATCATAATGAACTTGGACAATCAAAAGGGTTGACCAGTTGACGACGCAAAAAGTCAATTTAATTATGAATGAGAAGAAGAGGAAAAGTTTAATGGAAAAAGACAAAAAAAGTAAAAGAAGACGAAAAAATGTGAAATAAATTAGTTATTATTTACTCGATAAAGATGATGCTGATGATGGGTTTAGTGGTGAGATGAGTTATGAAGAGAAGAGAAGAGAAACTGTTCGCAAAATGAATGTTGATTGATGATATTAAAAGATATTGACTTTCAATTTAACACTTTTCCTCACGAGAATTGGTGTCAAAATGAAATGCAATATTTGGTGATATAAATGCATTAGTAAACCTTGATGACACATTGTCCATCTGATATTCATCCATGATGGTCAATGTTGAGTTAAGAGTAAAGTTTAACCAGAAGTAAAGAGGAAGAAGAAGAAAAGTTTTAAAAGTTGAATGACAATCGGAATGAGATTTACTTTTGAAAACAAAGAATGAAAATTCATGATGAAAATGGTTGACAAGTTGAAATTTTTTGTCGTTGATTAAAGTCTTTTATGTTTATTGAAACAATTGTTGGTTAACTTTTAAATGATGCAAAAAGTTGAATTGAAACATCAAAATTAAAAGATTGATTTATTTCTGTTCGTTCGTTTTCCCTTTACATTCAAAAATTATCTTCATCAACAAATTTCCATTCATCAATCAATCCAATTGATTATTCATTTTATCATCACTAATCAATCTAAATAATTTTACCATTAATGGTGGCAATAATGACATGAGATGCATTAAATTCATATCATTCAAGTTCATCGCCGTGAAACAATTTACTTTACACTTGAATGGCAGTCTGATTGGCAGAATCAATCTGAAAAGTTTTTCCTTTTCTTTTTTTTGTGTTTCATCCAAATTCTCATTCGTTGAAAGAGAATGGAACAAAAAATCTGTTAAATAACGAAAACATATTTTTCTCTTTTCCACCATGGATATTGGATGTAATAACATGATGAAAATATTTGGCTTCAATAATTTTGATTTAATAATAAAGTGAAAATATTTTCATTGGAATAACTGTTGATATTGGAATGATATTTTTCTTAAACATTTTCTTGTTGAAACCCAAATTTCCATTTTCAGTTACAAATTTATGCAGGAAAACCTTTTAGAAAAGGTCAGAAAAGGAAAATTTTGATTAAAATTCTGAATTTTAAAATGCTTCATTTTTCTGTCTAAAGCTTTCAATTTTTTATCCCAAAAAATATTATTTTCTTTTGCTTCGAAAAAATTGAAACGGTTTCTCTGAGTTCTTACAGATTGGCAGATTCGACCAGAATTCTCAACGCAATCGAATGTTTCTTCCTTCAATGCATTCGATGCGTTTGAATCATCAAATAGACGCCTTGATTGGAAAGACAATTGTATAAAAGTATAGTCATTGTGCAGTTAAATTGTGATAATTTTTGTCTTTACGAGTGAAAAACTATAATTTCACTTTGCAGGGAAACAAATTTAAGCACAATTCAATTTCACTGGCTATATCAGAACTTGCTGAATATCAATTTGTTTTGATCACCAGAGCCAAAGGCCTCTTCCATGTATACATATGATAATTTCAAAGCAAATACCATAAAATTTAACACGAGCTGACATTTAAGTAACCTTCAAGTTACCAGCTAAAATGAGTAAATAAAGTAAAGAGTAGAAGGTTATTTGATCATTCGCAGGTGAATTACATCGTATCACAATCTTTGAACTTTTACAAGTTCCACGGGTGTGTTTCTATTGTCATCAATGATGATATACATTCAGACGTAGATATTCAAGTAAAAATGATTGAAGGTTTCTGATTGAATGGACAGACATTGTCAAGTATATAGAAAAATCTATTAAAGGCCAATCAGCGCTATCCATGATGCCGATAGCGATGACTAAGGCGATGATTCATAATGATGTAACTCGGGTACCAAACTATGTCAGGGCAACCATGAATATATTATACTATTATTCAACGGCAAGTTTGATAAAAATCTAAATCTTTAAAATTCGCTCGCAATTTAAGATTCTGTAAATCACAACAGTTGAATAGTCAATATTTCACCTTTCATTTCTCGTTGTGAAACCTTTCAAATCCTTGGACAGTTTACTTTGCTTTCTCTCCATTATCTGTGAATAATAATGAAATATCATACTCAATCTAGTTCAGTTTAACCATTCAATTGGCCCAAATCTCATGGGTAAAAGAGGAAGAAAGAGAAGAATAAGTTTCTATAAATGGCAAGAGTTGTGAAAGTGAATTAAACATGGTAGCTTTTGTGGGTGGAAAAATGATGAGTAAATATTGAATTAATAATTGCGTGAATGAATAGATTGACAAGAATCTGTCATCTTAATCTAGTTTACATTTTTCATCCACAAAAATGTTTTGTATTATTAGCAGAATCAAGAGCTTTACTCAAGCCGAATAAAATTTGTCAATTTGTTCCAAATGAGAGTCGAGTAAAAATCGAAAAATAGTTCAACATCACTTTTCGATAATCAATTGGTACATATTTTCATATTGCATAAATTGAATGCTTTTAAAGGTACAAGAATGTTTCATTTCAAACTTGAAGGTTTTATCGTCAAATTGAGTTTGGAGTTACTCAAAAGTAGTTTTGGTGATAGAATTTTGCCCAAAATGAGAAATTAAATGATACAAAAAGTTGATAATCATGTCATGATGCCAAATCTACTAAGACATTAATCTATTTAGCAGTTGGCAGACAAAATGTAAAACTGGTTCATCAATATTTAATCACCATGTGAGGTTCAACATGAGACAAAACTGGTCTCTTCTCATTAACTCGATAGAATTTATTCTTGTTCTTTATCAGTGTTAATCAGCTTTTCTTTGACCACATCCATCAACATGCTGTTTACAGGATAAGAAGGAAAAGAATAGAATGAAAGGGTTGAAACAAGGACTGATTTCAGGGACAAAATGTTAGTCTCGCTGAATAAAAGTCAATCTTTTCTTTCATTTTCTTTCTAATCTCACCTTTACACAATTCTTGGTTAAACACCTTGAACGTTTGAGCTGGCAGTCTGATATCGAATGCATTTGCATATTGATCAAGTTGATTGTTGAGAGCGTCAAGTCTAATGAGCATTTGACGAAAACAAAGTTACAGGAAAGAATAAGAAACTGCTCATTAGAATTATCGTTAAATCTGAAGCTATTAATTTCCACCAATCCAAATTTTATAAGAATCTGATGAAACAAAAGAGAAAAAGGTTTTATTCCAAAAATTAACGAAAACGAAAAGGTCAAGAATATGAATGATTGCGGATGAAATATTCATTTAGTTAATGAGCGTCGAAACTTTAGTCGAATTTTGATTTTAAAAAGTTGAAGAATTGGTTTGAAACTTTTGTTGACTTTCAATGGAAATATCAATCCTCTTGAAGCTCTTCAACATTTGATCAATTGTTTAAAGAAATGAAAACGAATTGTTCATCCAAAGTTTATCAATAAAGAATGAACTTTTCAAATGGAGAATGGAAAAAGAGAGAAACAATTAAAGATTAAATTGGATAATCATGAAAGTTGGTAAATAATTGAAAGGTTAATGTCTGAGGTCTGCACCTGGTAATGACGACAGTTGACTTTACCATGTTTACTTGATTACGATTGTTGACTTGAATTTTTGTTTTACTTTACATAGCAAAATAATGCATTAACATTGATGGCTTGCTTGGTGATTAAAAGTTGATTTTTATTACTCTATTACTTTGGACTTTTTATTTTGCTGCGATTTTTGCCTTTCCAAGCAAAGTAAACAAACCATTATAATTGATAAACTCGAGTTCATTAGTTATTGATGATGATGATACACTAGTTATGAAAGGTTGAATAAATAAAGATGAAACAACAAAGGAATAGAGGTAAAGAAGGAAAAAGCAGAAGCAAAGATTAGAAACAATTTTTGTTTTTAACCATTTAGAGTTGCTTTGGTCACTTGTGAGTTGCATTTTGTGGCTGATTTTTTTACTTGTAACTTGTACTTGCTTTTATCAAACCATTTTTACACAGGAAACTCAACTCTTGATTTAATATGTTAAGGAAATCATTTGTTACTGTGTTGGTTTGAGCGATCAAGAAAACGATAGCTGTAATGATTCATTAGAAAGAGGCAGATAACTCTGATGGTAAATGAATGAATCGGCCTTTTAGCTATCTTCAGGTTGATTTTCTATTGTATTGACAAAGAATATCGATATTGCGATAGGTAAAGAGGTAACGTTATCAAAAGTTTAGAAATAAAATATTACATGAAACAAAAGTATGAGCTCATGGTTGCAAAGTGTTGAAAATGCAGGAACAAACAATTGAAAGGTTGAATCAACACTTTCAAATGAGAATCAGGGGAAGAAAATATTGCTCTGTTCATTCGTATAAACTTTACCCTGGGCGGTCGCTGACAAAGAAAAATATTAATTTAGGCCGATCACTTGCACTAAGACCCATATTGGACAAATAGAGAGTTAAAACTAATGGAAACTTATATCAAATAAAAGCAAACAAATTTTCGCCTAAATAAGTGTGAAATTTTGTGCAAATCTGTCCAGACGTCGGACCGCCATAAAAGATTCTATTTACTGTCAAACTTTACCAGTCATTCATTAGCGCAACAGGGTCTAGGATCAAGTCAGCTTGACAGGCTCCATCAACCACTAAGGTAAACGGAATTTTAAATTCTGTACAAGTTCTCTACTAATACGGCACCTGTGGGTACTATTATTCGATTTGGCGAACTTATTGACAAGGGATGCATGGTTGGTGCTACGACAATCTTGAATTTTTTTGGGCTTAAATATTCTAATGGGTCAGATGGATCGACATTGCTGCCATTAAGCATATTAAGCATATTAACTTACGTAAAAACAACTTTGACATGCTATAACTTTGAAAATTTCCGAAACGAAAGGCTTTACAAAGGATCATATCTGACCCATTAGAATATATTAAGCCCAAAAAAAGTTCAAGCTTGCCCGTAGAACCAACCATGCATCCCTTGTGAGATCTTAATCAAATAAACGATGTATCTTTTGCAAACATAAGTCGACAACTTGTAACAAACAACAATAAGGAGAAAAAAGTTGTATTTTTAAAGCATAAGCACCTGAAGCTGGCAAAATCGACCAGAATTACCAACAATGTATTTTTTTTCTTCGATTTATCCGATGAATTTGGATCATCCTACAGAAGCATGAGTTAAAAGATAATTGGATCAAAGTGTAATCATTGTCGTTTAAAAAAGTGATAATCTTTGTCTTTACGGTCAATTTGAGTGCAAAAGCTTTCCCTTTAAAGGGAAAAATGTAAACTCAACTAATTTTTCCCTGGATACAGCAGCACTTGCTGAATATCAATTTAATATGATCGTTTGGGCCGCTGTCCTCGTCATTGTTGTAGTCAAATATGCAAAAATTATAAAATTTAAGCTAACATTTAAATAACTTTCAAGTTACCAGCTAAGATGAACAAATGAAGTAAAGAGACAAAAACGATTTGATCATTCGCAGGTAACTTACAGTATACCATAATCTTTGACTTTTACAGTGTGCATTAAGTGCCACAAGTGAATTTCTATTCCCATCAATCATGATATTTATTCAGATGTATATGAATAAGTAATTATGAGTAACTAAGCAAGTAAAAGCCGAGTATAAAGACAGTTGATTTCAAAGAAATGATATCAGTTCGAGTTTAAAGCTTGTGAAGTTTTCTTTCATTGTGTTTTACAGTTTCCTTACAACTCTGATAAATTGTAATGCAATTAACAAAAATCGTGTCTGTCGTTTTCTTCATTACTCTTTTTGCTTTCATTGGTCTAAACATGGCTCAAGCACAAGGTGAGTATTTAAACAATGCAGCTTTTGATTGATAATTAATTTCGTTTGAAGTTGCAAGTTAGTGAAGTTTGCATGCTTTATTAAATCCAGGGATGGACGCAACCGAGGGCCGAACCAAATCTGCTAAAGAGGCACTCGGTGATGATCCTATGCAAAGTGCATCCGGTATTGGACTCGATGGTAAACGGCCACAGGAAGACGGTGGTCTTTTCCGATGATGTAACTCGGGTATTCAACTAAGAGAATCATGAATGAATTGGACATTATATTTTGTGACAATTAAGGACAGCTTTTATATTGAATTGATGAAATAAGATCATTTAATCTTTTTATCTGTTTTTATTTAAACAATAATTACCCAAGCATTTCTTTGATTTGACCAGATTTCTGAGCCTCATGAACTTTTGTTTTGATTTTTTACTCTGACCTTTGCCCACCATCATTAGAAATATGTGCCGATAACTCGAGAGCTATAAGTCAGACCTTTAAGTTGTCCAGTCAGTATAGTTCTCAATAGATATTAATAAAAAATCTCAAGTTCATTCAGACTTTTGTCGTTCTTTAACCACTGACATTTGCAGGAGTGAACTTTAATAACCTTGGACTTTCGAGCTTATGATTCATCTAAATCGCAGTATTTGATTCTGACTTCTGTAGCATCAACCTTTCTTGAGTTACAAATGCTAGCACGCGTAAAATGGAAAAAAGCCCGGTATGTTACAGCACGCTTATTTGAATCAAAAGTATCGTATTAAAATAAATCTTCAAAAAACTTGCTATCACTCATATTGGAGATGACAAAGATCTCTAAAACAAATTCAAGATATTTTTTGACAACATAAAGGGGAATATAACTCTTTTCATCCATATAAAGGCTTCATAAAGAACCCTTGTCTTATATTATATTTTAAATTGCTGCAGCTATGAATAATTGAGAAAACAGGAGCCTCAATTTGGCCACGACTATCATTAGGAAAAATTACCGCGAAATGGCCTTAAGTTACCTTGATCATGAAATGCAATCACATCTTTTGTTATTGATAAAAAATTTTCCTTCGAACACAATCTTTTCAATTATTTGGTGAGCCTGTGTTGATTCACTCAAGAACTAGATTTTATTTTTCGTATTTTATAATAATAAATTTTTTGCTCAATCAAGAATTCGGATTTTTGCGCCTAGATCGACTGTATCGTACTATACGAAAAGAAATTTGTAATAAAAAATGATCTTGAGGTCTATGGTCCAAATAAAAGTAAAGGTTAATATAAAGATTCAAGATATTATCTGCAAGAGTGCAATTTTGTTGCTCAAGAGATTCTCGTCTTATTTTTAAATCATGCTAGAAGTGCAAAAGGCTATTTACCGTGAAAACATCCAAGGATAGCAAAAGAGTAAAAATGAAAACGCAAAAAAGTAAGAGGCTAGTTAAGCGTAAAAGATTGAAAGCAAATAAGAAATAAAAAGCAGCTTTGAAATCAGTTGCAATAGCATGGTTAGAAGACAATTTTCAGACAGAAAAAGGCAAACTGATGAAAAACCAAAATTGAGGACGAGCAAAAAGAAAAGACAAAAGGCAGATAATGAGATCGATGAGCGAAAATGTGTTAAAGTGTATACATTGAATTATATTAGATAATTTTCAATGCTGACTTATCGTTCCATGAAAAAACAATTGTTCATGAGAAGAAGAAAAAATATGAAAAGATAATAAGAAAAATTTTGCTTCTGTTGGTGGTGATGAATCCAAAAGAGCAACTAGTTTCTTCATGATGGAAAACAGTAAAACATAAAAAGTTCAACATGAAAACAGTTGTATTTGTTGGAACAAAAAGGTTTTCAAAAAAAAGTTTCGTAGGGAAAATGAAAAATTTTCAGCTCGATTCTAAATGACTCTCGTCATTCTCATTGCCTCATCCTCTGGAATAAAGATTTCAAGAATTGATGCCAAATTCCATAAAACACTTTCTTTTTTCATCTTTTGTCTTCCAACTTCTGAAAAACCCAACATTCGATCAATGTGATAGTCTAATCAGTTCTCTACGCATTGATTTTGACTTTCAACAGTTGACAAGTCGCAACAAATAATGAACTTTAACCATGCAATCAGATTCATTATCCATGAATATCATTGTTTAAATTAATGTAAACTTAATAGAAAACAAACTAATTACCATTTTTTTCGAAAGATAAGAGTAAAAGTAAAGAGAAGAATTTTTTCTATCTCTTTTCATTTTCTTTGTTTCACTTTCAGATAATCATTGTTATTAAACTCTTTGTACAATATCAGTTGAGCAAATGTTTCCCTTGATAACCTTATAATAATGTAACAATAAGATAATCCTCTTAACATTAAATAAAGAAAAGTAATGATAATAATGGGTTAAAAGGTACAATAGATTAAAAAGATAACGGAATTTGGTTTATTAATTTTTCTTTTCATAACCCAATGGAAAAAGTGTTTCAAGAAAAAAAAGTGTTGCACTTTTGTACCAATGTTCAAGTCTGGGTTTGCTCAAAATGAAGCCAACTTTGTTAGATTAACTCAACAATAGCATGATTAAGTTAACCTTGAAAAAGATTCTAGAATTGACACTCGATTAAAGAACAGTTTTGATTAAAATTTCAACCACCCTTGAGATTAGATAAGATTATAATAGAAAATGAGAAAAAGTTCATTACTTTATTAATAAGTTTCAGTAAACTCTCAGACGAAAATGTTGGAGTAAATTGACATTCGAGATGCTAAACCTACAAATCTCGATCTTTCATGAAGTCTAATATCAGTCTTTCATTAATTTATATGTCGTCTTGTCTAGAATCGATTGTCTGAGTAAAATTCAATCCGATCAAAGTCGATTGTCTAAATTGTCTGAAACTGGAATCCCACGATTTCGAGTCAACTTTGTGTGCATCTCAATCTTCATCAAGTACTCATTGAGTCTTGACTAAGATGTGGATTACTTTCATTGAGTTTTTTCTGTAAATTCCTCGATATTCGGCGATTATTCTGGTTTAGTAAGTTATTCTTCTTAAGTAAACTCAAGTAAATTCCAATAGAAGCACTGAATAACTTTGATTGAGCAATTGATCTCAAAGAATTTAAAGTATTTATTCTTAATTCGTCTCATCTCATGAATCACCAGCTTACTAGAATGGATAAAATTTAAAAAAAGCGAAACGAAAACAGTAAAAAATGTTCCACCAACAGATCATGGAAAGCGCCCTGATGGATCACTTTTCGTAACCCTTAGTAGTGCAAATAAGCAAAACTAAGCTATAACATTGAAAGTTGAACATTTTTCGAGTTTCTTTTATTTCATGTATAGTTTGAAAAATCTGAGTGTCTCTATTCAAAGTTATCAATTCTTTTTTGCTTCAAAATTCCAAGTGTTAACACTAGCATTTCATCTACTGCTTAACTCAGTTTAGAGTCAATCTTTATGCTTTAGTTTTTCATCGTCTCTAGTTTAAAATTGTCTTAAAACGTGGAAACGATGAGAAGGAAAATATAAATCGTCCAACATGTTACAGGAAAGAAATGCTCAACTGTCAACATGGAAAAAAGGGATTTCAATGCTTATTCTTTTGCATTACTTATTCCCTTTCCAAAGGATTGATATCTTTTCTGGGAAAGCTTCTCATTGCTTTCATGTTATCCTTTAGAAAAAAGAGAGAAAAAGAGAGAGATGAAACAAGACTGCAAGTATTACAATAATATCTTACAAGATTTGACAGGGAATCCCTGGGAGTGAATATAATTCTTGCTGGGAGTTGAGCGAAAGTAAAGGATGTGTAAAGGAAATGCGAACGTGAGAATCACTTAGAAAATGTAATATCTTCATTATTAAGCAGTCCAAGGGAAGAAGAAATAGCAAACTCTTTTGTCTTACAATCTTTTTATCTATTCAATTTTGTTCACCTGAAGAACTCAGCATGACCCTAAACTCAATAACTAAGTGTAGCGATAATTTATACAAAACCGATAAGCCAATGTTGGCCTTAGAATGAATTTTCACAAGTAAAAATCTGTCATTCACATTTCCCTTGAACAATTAATGATTTCAACTTTTTTCTTCTTCTTCGACTTGGACATTTCTGAAAATGTCCACACTGATTGACGTTGGCTCATTTGGAAATGGGAAAAGCACAAGAACAAGGTCAAGAAAATAAATGTTGACCGATTTAATAGATTATGAGAATCAACTCACTTGATGACTTTTTCCAACAAGGGCAAGAGTCAATTTAGATTGGCAATGATTAACTTATCAATTTGCTGATGAGTTTTAGTCTCTATTGTTGCCACCTCGAATTAAATGAGTAAAGACCCAAAAACTTGGAGTAAACAGTTTTTTTGTTTCTCTCACAATTGACATGATTATGACAAAATAGAGATGAACAAGTTAACAAGAAAAAAATGATAACGAAAAGAAATAAAAATGTTCACAACAATTGTTCCATATAAGAAGGAAAAATATATTAATTTATCATTTGATTGAAATGAAAAAGAATATCAAGAATGTGGAAATGGGAAGAAGAGAAAAAAGAGAAAATATTTTGACAAAGACGCAACTTTGCACAATCACAACAGTCAACTTTCATTTTCCCTCATTGCTCTCTAAGCTTTTCTTTTTTAATTACATTTCGCCATTTTTGCTTGTGCTTGTTGACACAAATTGATTGGCTCATTGGAACAATCAAAACATTTGTAAGTCGACTTGGATTCCAATGCAAGACAAAAAAAGATTTTCAACTTTTCCATTTATAATATTAATAGTTTAAAAGTCGAGCAAAGTAAAGTCTCGTAAGAGGCCGAGATGGAAGTCAACCTGATGCAGCAAGATGAGCCTCATTAGGTTCAACTATTGAGAAATCAAGTGTGAATAAAACTCTTTAATTGATGTGTTTATGTTGATGTAAAAAACTATTTTCCGTGATCAGTGATTAACAATTTATCAGTTGTAATGAAAGCAATTTGAATTCGAGTTGAACTGACTCTTTGCATCTTTAACAGGTTTTCGAGAAAAAAAGGTAATTTTGGTAATTGACCTTTTCTTCCATCAACATAATCATCGCTATTTTCATCTCTTTTTTTCCTTCTCTCTGTCTTCCTCTCGATGGACTCAGCAAAAACAACTTGCCTGATTGTCTTGAGTTCAACTTAGTTTCAATGGAACAATGTAGGATTACAATTACAATTGCTTTTTTTCTTTCATTCTCTTTACTTCTCTTCGTTTTGTTAACCAATTAGAAAGACAATTTGATGGATTGAAAGTCTGTTAATTAGCTGTCTGCATTTATCTGTTTCTTCCTTCAATTGATTCATTTCACAATTGAATCAATCCGCTATTTAATTTGGCCCTTCAACATGTATCCTAATCAACCTGTTAACCATGTAAACTTGAAAAGCCTTCACAAGAAGAAGCAAAAAACGAATAAAAAGAAAATGAAAAGTTAACCAATCAAATTTGACGCAATTTTGTTTGAGGTTTCAATTGCTTTTCAGAAATTCAACTTTATCTGACAAACATTTTGCTTACTTCATGTGATATGATTGTGTTCAATTTGGTTCAAATTGAAAGCGATAAATTGAATTGCAACTTCTCTTCTTTGTTTCTGTGGTTTGATAAACTGGTCATTATGAGAGAAACCAAAATGATTTGAAAACCTTATTTCTCTGGTTTCACTTTTCTTCACTCCTTTTTGTCTTTACCTAAAAAATCAACCATCAATGTTGAAAATGAAGTTAAAAGTCAACAACGCAAGAAACAGAATGAGACTCGAGGTACATCAGATGAAACAAGTTGAAGTCAAATGTTGATAACTTTGAAAATGTTGCGAAAAGAAAGAGAAAACACAAAGATTGGAAAAGGTGGAGAAGATGAAGAGAAGAGAAAAAAAGCTAAAATTCAAAGAGTAAATCAACCAATCGATAGTTGAACCTCATCTATTATTATAGCAATTGGTTTTGAAGTGAAAGACAAAGTGTCTCAAGAATCATGATAGAGGGAAGAGAGGATAAGTAAACTGGTAGCATAACAAGTAACTCGTCTAGTGTTGGAAGAAGATGGTAAAGAATAAAAAAGAGAAAAGAAAAACATTCTAAAGATGTTGATGATGAAGACGAATGAAAAGAAATGAAGAGAGATTTTCCTTTCCGATTGCAAATAAAAAATGATCATTGATCTTGAAAGTGTAACTTTTCTCACCTCAAGGCAAGCTTTAGTTTCAATTTCATCTTCAATTTAATCTTTTTTTTCTTCTCTCAATCGCACCAAATGAATAAATCAATTAGCGAAACGAGTCAACATTGCAATTATTCTTGACTTGACAGAAGTTCAACTTTGAAATGACAATCAGGAGTCGAATGATGACTTTTGATTTTTCCTCATTTTTACCTTTACTATTTATGACCATTTTAGAGACTTTTTTTTCTTCTTCTTTACCTCACTTCAAATCAATTTCACATTGCAACCTGACATGCATTCGGGTCATTAAAGGTCAATCAAGTGGCTCTAATAGACAGTCAATGAACATAACATTAGAAGTTCATTCAATGATCACTTTCATCATCATTTCAAGTAACATGCTTTTCTTCAATTTTTACTCTTCTTTCACATTCTTCCTCTTCTTCCTCCTCTTCATCTTCATCTTCATTACTCTTTACTCAATGTTGTTATCAAACTGACCAATGTTGAGCCACAACAATCTTGATCCACAACAAATAATCATTATTATCATTATTATTGCATTTAACTTGGAGTTTTCACTCCCAGTGATCATTGAATTTTCTTCTTCTTTTTTCTCTCTTTTCTTTAGCATCTTCGCTCTTTCTATCAAGTAATTGTTTCCATTTCAAGTAATAATGATTGTAGCCAATTGAAAAGGTAATTTTCTTCCTCTTCTTGTTATCTTTACTTTTTTTTATTTTCCATTCTTTCCTTTTTTTCTCAGCAAAATCAACACCAAATTGGCTGAAACTCTTTTTACTCGCCTTCTTTTCATTCTTCCTTTTCTTTCCTTTCCACCTTGATTATCTCATGGATTTAGACTGAAAATAAAGACAATTTTAAAGTTTGATTTCAATTGATATCAAAACACGAAATTGTTCATTCAATTATTTCCTAACTCGATAATGTTGAGAATAATTTCATTAAAGCTTTTTACACGATTCTCAACTCAACCAAATATTAATAAACAAGACATTGATTTGTACTTAAAACTCTTTTCCCCTTCAACAGAATAATCAAGCTGAAAGCTCATTATAATGATGAATCGAGCTCTTGTACATCAATATTTATCAGACGAATGATAGACTTTGGAATGAAAAGTTTTCGATAAAAAATGCATTTTCTTTCATGATTATTCTTGTTCATCTTGACATTCACTCTTTACTCGACTAGAAAGTCGAAGAAAAAGATGAAAAAGCAAAATATGTCAAAACTCGTTGATAATAATTTCTTTTTTTCAGTTGACTTGCCTTGAAGGCAGCAACAAGAAAAGAGCTGAATATGAACAAAAGTAAAAGTTACAAATGCAAAAGTACAAAAGGTGAAAAGGAAAGGAAAAATTTTTGTTTGATGACAAAAAGTTTTTCTTCTTAGAACTTTTTTTTCTTCATGTTGACTGAACAAGTATGTTTCATCGCACTTGTATAGATTATTGTGACTCTTTTGAATGTACAAGTGGCTAAGCAAACATTATGTTATCCAACCATTTGAACTTGAATCGTTGCATCAACTTTACTCTTGTGTAAAGTATTGCTTTGCGTCATTCGTTTATATAAAAAGAAGGTTTAGTTAATAAGAAAAGAGGAGCAAAAAAGCGAAGAAGAACTGATGTCGAAAAGGTTTTTGACTTTTTTCTTACCTGGATTAGTTGCTTTACTTTGCAGCATTTTGTGACTTGCTATGCTCAAGAATACCTGTGAACTTTTACCAACTCCATTTTGAGAATAAATGACAAAATTTGTACTCTCATTTGATGGTAACTCGGAAATGGCAATCTTAAAGTAAGGCTGTTCATCATTTACTCTAACAATTGGCGATGATAATGGTGATGATGAGGAAGACAACGAAGAGAGCGAAAGTTGTGAGGATGGCTGGGAGGGTAAATTATCTTGATCATGAATTTCAAGGAAATAAGTTTCTTTCCATGGACTTGATTTGCTTGGCTTTGAACACTCAATCAAATAACTGCTATCTGAAGAGTTTTCACGAAGATGACAGTTTTCCGGTGGATAAGGTAAGGCTAAAGAGGGAGAGACAGAAGAAAAGTGAATAACATTAGAACAAGTGAGAAAAGGTAAAAAGGCGACGAAAAATGATGAGCCCAGTTAAGAATAGAATGGATTCATGTTGAGAATGTTGAATGAAGAGAAAAGAAAATGTCTCAAGATTTCAAAAATAGCCTGTGCTCAAGGCAAAAATGCTCTTCGTTTGCTAATATAAATGAATGTCAAGGAATTGCCTTTTGCCTGAAAAAAGAAGAAAAAAATGATCCAAAAGGCCGAGAAGCATTCATTAAGCTCTGGGAGTGAAAAGTCCCAGAAGATATTCCTTCACAGTTTTCTGTTTACTTTTATCATTTGAGAAACAATAAGATGAGAAAATGGAAAAGTAATTAGAAAAAATGAAATTCCAAATTTTCAATGAATGTTGGAATAAAATTTAATAGAATTTTTACTCTTTTCTCGATTTCACTCCCAACATGGAGTGTTTTATGCACAATTTCATTTGGAGTTTATTTCTTTCGTTATCATGAATGTGATTAACTGATATTAATTGATGTTTTATTGTTTAGAAAAGAGAAAAAAATTAATTCGTTTGTTCTTCTCAGCACTGTTCAATGTTTCAGATTAATTTCGCCAGTTTCCCCTTTTCTCTACTTTTTCAACTTTTTGCCTTCATTTGATTTTCATTAATTTTTTTGCATTCATCCATTGAATGATATTTCCATTCATTGAACATTAATCAGAATAATTTCATGTTTATTTAATCGCTGAGAATAATTGATTGTCTGAATACAGAATTATTGTTATATCATCATTAACCATTATTTGTTAAGTTATTAGTAACATTATTTTCTCGTCATTTTTTCCCTTTTCAAATGAATGGAAAGAGAAAGAAGAGAAAAGTAAAAGGTAATCAATTTGGATGAGAATCAGAATGATGATCAAGTAAAAATAATGTTCAAGTTTCACTTCATTAACTATCAACATGATCAACAGAATTGATTCTTTTAGGATTGTCTAAAAGAAAAATGCCATTCCATTTGGATTACAATTTTTGCTTCATGTGATTATTGAAATTCTTCATTTCTTATCAGGATTCACCTTCAATTTTCATCAAAGAGCAAAAATGCTTCAAGGAAATTTCATAAAAGCATAATCAAGTTTTTTCTCTGAGACAAAATTCTGCAGAATTGTTCTCGAAACTTATCATTTTGTTTTGATTGAATAGTTTCAAGTCTAATGATTAAGATTGGAAACAAGATTGAATAAATGGATGGACAATTCGTTGGAAAAAAAACTCTTTATTCAATTCTCTTCTTTCTTCTGCTTCCCAGTTGATAAGAATAATAACCAATTAACTGGAAATGTTTTTGGATATAAATGATCAGATTATGGAACTTTGTTTTCCTTTCTTTCCTGAGGTTGACAAACTTTCATGTTTCAGTAATAAATGGCTAATAGTGATGTGCAAAGCGTAATTGTCTTGTTGAACAGAAGCAGAGACCATTCAAAGATGGTAATGATAAATGACGATCAAAGTGTAAAGTGAAGTCAACTTTGCGTTAAATAAATTAGCCAATTAGCAAAGCTGTCCAGTTTCAATGAAATTTAATCAAATTAAAAGACAAACTCGACGAAGATTCAAAAGGGAAAAAACTTTCGACTTTAAGAAAAGATCTTTTAGAAATACTTTTGCCTAAAAATTCAAGAAATATCAAGAAAATTGACATTCTTAACATAAATTTTAATTTCTATTCGAGCAACTTTGATTCAACTTCGATTCTGAACTTAAATGGAAACTCAAATGTAAACGAGAAAGGAAAAGTTGGAAAAATTCGAAAAAAAACCAATTTCGAACTAAAAATTTCTGCTTCTTAATGCTTTTCTTTCTGCTTTACATTGAGTTTGATTCGATTCTGATATTTGAATAATGTGTAAAAGTAATGCTTTAAGTCTGTCTTTAATCGCATCTTACGGTTTATAGCTTAAACTAGACTTGTTTAATGAAGCATTTCAATTATTTTTTTAGTTCCTTTCATTTTCCATTGAATTGACTGAGTTTAAAATTTGAAAATTACAAGTTCTTCTAAGTTTGACAGAAAATGTTTTTTCTTTCTTTACTCAAATATGCTTCTACTTTTTACTCATTAAAGCTATTAATGTAAACTACTGAATATGATTTCGTGTGTTAAAGCTCATTATACCTTAGAACTGTTTTACCCTGAAGGTTAAAATGATGATTAAATTATTTGTGAACAAAATTGCTTCAAGCGCAAAGTGTAAAAAGCAGCAAGAAAAGTTTCATTCAAAAAGCTCTTTCATTAATAATAAAGGAATGAAAAATTTAGCGAACAAAAAATGACACTAAAAATGTATTGATCATGAAAGGAAGGGAAATGGTTCAAGTTTATAGTCAGCAAAAGCAGCAGCCAAATAGATTGATGCAAGTTTAATGATGTAAATTTAACTTCAAGTTAAACATTGAAAAAAATATTGAAGAGCTTGAAACAAGTGAAACTTGAGAAAACGGCCAAAATTGAAACAAAGACGAAAATTTTGATGCAATAAAAACTGAGCATCCAATGTAGTTGCCATGAAACGACCATGGAACATTTTCTCTTTTCTCTTGAATTAAACTTCTTTTTTCCAATTTACGCAGTCATTCAGATGCAAGAGCAAGTTTAATGCATGATAATTTACAACCAAATTTTGTGCTTGATGCAAAAATGAAATGCTTGGTTATAATAGGTTTCATCAAATTCCCTGTTGATACATTTTTTGTCGAGTCTTCTGCTAATTCCAATCAAATTATCGTCTTTAAACTTTACTCATGCAATTGGGTTGAAATGGAAGAGAAGAAAAAGTTGAAAAGTCCTTTTAACCGATAATCTTTTAAGAGGCTCGTAAATTTGAAAATTCAACAGAAGAAATCCTTTTCTCTTCTGCTAATGTTTCAATTCACTCATCTTCATCTTGAACAGTTTCCTGTTCATTTCATTCTAAAAGTGAATCAAATAGAGGAAAAGTTTCAAACTTGAATTGAAACAAAAGGCAAATGTAAATAAAGATTAAGCTGTAAAAAAGAAAAGAGGAAAAGTCGACTTTGGGAGAATGTGGTTTCATCATCAGCTCAATTGATGCTAATTGATTTTTCATTTTTATGTTGAAACATATTCTCAAGTTTGCCAACAAATTTATGGCTCAACTCGTCAACTCATTTCCATGTTGAATGATGCTGCTTTTGGTCTTTGATTTTGTTTGTATTATTAATAGATTGTCTGTCGGCTGCAGAAGCAATTGATCAAAATTGATTGATTCAATGCATGACTTTCTTTTAATCACAAGTCACCAAAGTATTAAAGATGCAACAAAAGTGATACATTGATAAACAGTGAGAAACATGGAAAGAGTAACCAGGAAAGAATCGAGAAAAGATTGGGTTAATAAATGCTAGAATGAGAAGAGATAAGGTGAAATTGGAACGAAAGGTAAGATTGTTGCTGGAGATTTGAGATGGAAGAATGAGAAAAGATGAAAAGCCGAGAATCAGTGAACCATTAATGCAATATGGTTTATTGATGTTCTGATTACTTTCTACTTTTGATGCGTAAATTTTTCACCCAAAATCAAGGTGCACCTCAATATTGGTCCATTATTTATTCAGAGAGGAAAACAGTGAAAACTGAAATAAAAATCGAACCAGAAAAATGAATGAAAAGAAATTTTTCTCGTATAAATAAAGACTTCGAATGCGCTTTCAACTTGTTTTGACAATTTTATGTTTTCCGACGAATTTTGCTGACGATAAACTTGGAATCGAATTGAATAGAAGTTATTTTTAGATGAAGCGCTTTGCTGGTTAAAATAAAATTAAAGTCTAATTTGCTATTGATTCCATTATATTTTTGCAAATGATTTTCTCTGTGAGATTGAAATTTTCGAAGCAACTAATGATGACAATTGTAAATAATTAAAATGGACAAAGTTTTTCAATTCAACTTTGTATTTACTTAGACTGAACAAACAATATTACCAGAGACGTTGACACAACCACCAAAGGTAAATACCATTTTCCTCTTATTTTCATTTCACTTTCACCAAAAGTTTATCAAAATAAACTTTATCCTATTCTTTCCATAATCAGATTGAGTTGTAAAACCAATTCAATCAATTGAAATATTTGAATCTTGTTTTCTCATTCAAACATCTTTGCTTCAAGAAAAAAGACGAAAGCTGATCAATTGTAAAGGAATGAATTGAATGGCTAAAAATTGAGAAATGAATTTTACGAAAGAAGCAACGGTTTGGGTCAACAAAAGGTTACCTAAGACTAAAGGTTACTCAGGCTTGAGAGACGTTGCCCTTCAAGTTGCTCATGGAACCATTGCTGGTAACATTTCTGTAACATTTACCATTCTGTTTGGAGAAAGCTGGAAAATCTCTGGATTTCCTTAATGATCCAAATATGCAAGTTCATGTAACTTGTAGATTGGAAGAAAGAAACTGATGAAATTGCAAAATAAAACAATTAATCATGGTTGGTGTGATATTGTGTCTAACAAGATAATCATCATCACCACCAGAAACTATGAATTATTTTACATGGAACATGGAAATGAGTGAAAAAAAGATGAAAAGGATTACCAATTTAAACATTGTTACACATCCACCCACATGATAATCGCATGAAACTGAACACAAAAAATAGAAGTCATAAAATGCAAGGTTGACTTGTTTAGCTGTTTGCCTTTTTTGTACACTAAATATTATTTCTTAATGATAATCCTTGCTCAGAAGCCAACGAAGATGGTAAAGTTGCAAGATGATGCAAATTATTACGAACCATGCATATGTATATTATTGTTGTTAAGAATGAAAAAGAATGGAGAAAAAGTGCAATGAAAGAAAAAAACAAAAAAATTTACTTCTTTGCCTGTTGATGGGTTTTCCATGCTAATGAACCATTACACATCTTCATGCGTTCCCATCAGCCTTCATCCTCAACGGATTGAGTTTCCTAACCATAAACATTTGAACACAAAATAACCCATCAAAGCTCAATGATGATAATGATGCTCATCATTATGATTATATTAGCAAGAAGTAAAGGTGAAAAAAGAGGAAAAAATTGATATTCAGAAATGTATCTAAATAGAGTTGAGAAATTTTCTCCAAAAAATTCTCTCAAATTCAAGCAATGAAAAATTGAAGCTCATACAGAGCTGATATTGACTAATGAACTTGATGAAATTTATCACGAAAAAGAAGTGACAAAATGTTCAAATGAATTTCGAAAACCATTTCAAAGACAATTTGGAAGACACAAAACACGAAAAGTGGAAAAGTCCAACCTTTTCACCATTTCTGCATCAACTTTGTATCAATCGTCAAAATAATTTTAATGTTGTTCGTTCGGATCGACTTCTGATTAATCCAGTCTGTAAATGGATTTTCATTGAATTTTTAAAGAGGACTTGAAAGTTCTATTGATATTTTTAGACAAAATTTTTCGATTAACTCGTCAACTGTCACAATCAACAAATGCTAGCAAAGTTCTGATTGTTATTCTCAGCATTAGAAAAATTAATTTGATATTCTGTTGAAACTTGATCTCAAGTGTTTTGTTATTAATTTTTGCCGGCATTTTAATTTTCCTTCTCGAGGTAAATTGAATCACAACAACAGACCAGACAGTTCAAGTTTAACTAAATTAGTTTATTAATAACATTAATCAATAAAGCTTAATGTCAATTTGACTTTACCATGCAAAGGCATGAAAAAGCATTTCCCTTAAACCTCTATCTAAATAAAACTTTGATGAGTTGCAAATTGAATGAAAAGCAAAAGTATTTTTGTCTTTTCAACCTTCGAGTGTTTAAATGTATAATTAAATGATAATAGTTTTGAAAGTTAAAATTGAAATGCAAAAGCTAATTAATGAGACTAATTAATGAACTGGAAAGACCAAAATCATAGAGGAAAAGTTGATTCTCCTGCATTTTGTCCCTTCGCCCATTCTGATTACTGATTTATCACTCAGATTAAAATGGTGAATAAACACTTTTGGGAATAGTTCAAGTTTACAAATTCGTTTTTAACTTTTTTTCTCCAAAAGAGAAAAGTTTACCCAAAAAAATATGTTGAAACCACCTCGGGTCATTTGTCAGTGTTACCATGAGTTGTGAAGAGAAAATGAAATTAAACAATATTCCACTTTGGATATTAACCGAAAGAGGTTCAAGTTTATCCTCGATATTAATTAAAGTATAATATTATTCTGATCGAAAATGAGAAAATGCTAAAAATCGAAAATTTATTTGAATCGATATTCTGTTTTATAAACTTTTATTCATTTCTTTTCAGTGGAAACATTAATAATGAAAAGGAAATTCAAAGTTTGGAACATCATGGAAAAGATATTTTCCTTCGATGAAATGCTCAAAAGTCACTGATGGGATAAACAAATCCCAGTAAAATGTTTGTAAATTTAAATTCTTTGTTAAAGATTAGGAAGAAACAGAAAGAAACTTGAAAAGGATTTAAAATTTGATTTATGTTATTGTTAGTGTTCAGTTTTGCTAAACCTTTTGTTATTGAAATTTCACCAAATATGAGAAAATTTCTTTTTCTTTTCATCCATTTTTGTTTCAAAGATTTGTTTCCAGATTGACTTTGAAACGTATCAATAACACTTTTAAAATGGGTCAAGGTTTAGAGTCGAAAAGTGACTTATCAATTGTTTCATTTTTTGATGTTCCGTTTAGGCTTGTTTCTCCATTAGTTTGGCAACTCAAAGGAACGCAATGAAAAATGTATAAACTCGATTTGAGCCTCATGAAGAGTTAATAGTTTGGTTAATATTTAGTTGAACAGTAAGGTAATAAATGATATAAAAGGTGATCAATTTCATTCCTTCATTTCACCACTTTTATCCTTAAAAGTTTTTCCCTTTCATTTCTCATCATATTTTAATTTGGAAGAGAAAACTTTTAAACATTTATTTCGCAGTTTCACCAAAATGACTTATGATCATGATGAAGATGGAAAGAAGAATGATTGCTCAAAATGTTGACATGAAAAGACGAATTGCTTTTCTACAAATTTGGAAATGAAATAGAATGGAATTGCTCTCATTCGGAAAACTTATCATTCTCTATTTACTCCATTGACATTTCATGTTGAAATCTTGAAAACATTGTTCAGCCTTTGAAAAGTTTATTACAAGTTTAATTACCTGTGGAAGGTTTAACTTGAAATTGACATTGATTTGGTTGTTTCACATTTAAACCTTTATCCAAGCCACAAATGAGTAAACCGTAATCGCTTGATGAGTTCACTTTGTATTGAATCACTTTATTCCGTGTAAACTGTTTAACTGGTGAAATTGATGTTGAGGTTAAAGTTGATTGGGATTTTATAGCACTTGATTCACTTTCCAAATGGGAAGCAAGGAATTTCCACCAAAAGATGGTCGCATTGGTCACTCGTGGGTCAATGTTGCAAGATATGTTGACAGTTTCACCCATTGGAACCTCATAAATCACCTTTGAATCCAATTCCGTGCAAGTTGGTTCATCTTTCAACAGAAATTTGCAAACGAAAAGGAAAAGAGTAGAAAAGCAAAAGAATAAATCAGTCAAGAACTTTCATTTTTACGATCAAACGCCAATGCATTTCTGCGAGTTCGCCTTATGAATCGTTTCATCAAGAACTATGTTAAAATGATTCGACAAAACATTTGTTTAAACTTACAGTGAACTTTGAGGTCGATCGGGTTACTTTTACCGGTTCCTTCCGAGTTTTTGGCTAAACACTCGTAACTTCCAGCTTGACTGGTTGAACTAATGTTGATGGTTAAAGTTGAGTTTTCAATCGCAATACCTGTGAGAAGGAAAAGAATGGAATTTTAAAGTTTTTGATAGAAAAATTATTCTCACAGTTGAGTGAAATGCGCTTGGAAAATTAATTCAGAGATGAATGTGGGAATTATTTTGCTGTTTCAAATGTGACAAGCAAGAGTAAACACTTTCACTTCAATATCACATTTCGTTTACAGTAAACACTCAAGGCTACTCTTGAGGCTAAACAATTGCTGGTTACCGTTTGGACTGATAAATAAATCGGAATAATCAATAATTTCATTTCTCTTTTTACTTGCTATTTATCATGTTTTTTGTTTCCAATGCAAACAATCATTTTCAAACTGAGAATAATCATAATCTGACTTGGAACTCGAGTTTTTTCCTCTTCAGTGTGATTAATTAAAGAATGAATTGAACATGAAAAATGAGAAAAATATTTATTCTAAACATTGGCAATGGAACATTTCATTGAATTTTTTCAACATTTTTTCGATTCTCATTTCAAAATGGAAACTTTTGTTTTCGAATTTCAGACAAAATTTTGAAATTTTCTTTGATGAAAACTATTATCATGGATATTGCTTGAAATGTAAAAATATTTCTTGTGATCAAGTAACAAGGAAAAGTGCATTGTTCAATAAACTGTAAACAGGTAAAAAAGAGAAGGAAAGGAAAAGGAAAATAAACGAAATATTATTTCTTCTAAAAAGTGGAATAATATTTTCTCTTGAATGATATGATCAAAAGACAAACTAAAAGTCAAACTAAATGTCAAATAATATGACAAAACCATAAAGTTTTGTTTCTTTACTTAGAGATGGGATGATAAGCGATATTACAATAATAATAGCGATATAAAAATGTTGAATTGTTGAAAGGTGATAAAGCAAAGCTTACAAAGAAAAATGTTAACAATTCAAGTTGAAATAAAGTTTTGCTTTGTTTCCTTTTTTAATACCTGTTAGTCAAAAGTAAAAGAAACTCGTTTAATCAAATTTGACCGACAATTCTCAGTTGGTTATGGAAATGTTGCCAGAAAGGTTTCCAAAACTAAAGCAATATAATGGAAAATAAAATGAAAGTAAAAGAGCATTTTTTGTCGAGCAAATTAACTCGTCTCTTAATTGCTTGGCAAAGATTTTCCGGAAAAACAAAATACAATTAGTCGACGCTCGACTATCCATTATATTAATAAATTGAAGTAGCAACACGAGTCGAAACTTTGTGTACAAAAGCAACGAAACCTAAGACTTGAAAGTCAATTCCAAGCGAGACTAAAGGTTGACTTAAACCCACACTAATTGTATAACAATAACATTCTAGAACGGAAATGTTGAGTTGTAAATAGAGATTGAAATGGAACTCTAAAACCCACTCTTTTTGAGGGGAATTTAATTAGGTTTCAATGAAGAGCCGAGATAGAAATAAAACTTTATCATTGGCTTGGAGTAAAAAACTTTACAGAAAAGAAAGAAACTTGAAAATTCCAATTGAGATTTTCTGCAACTGAACGCATTTGACATGAGGAATGAATAAAAATTTTCTTAAAACTGAAAATCTTTTTTTCTTTCAAGGTTTAAATTAAAAAACTTGGAGTTGATAATCCTCAAAATTCAATATCAATAAACGACTAGAATAAGCGTAATAAAAGCAATGATTAAGGACAATGCATTTATCTGTTAATCCTTATAACGTAAAGTTCCTTCTGTCATTTATTGCGTTTCAACATGTCAAAAGGCTAACACAAAATGTCTCTAAATGTTTGATGAGAGGAATATGAATAATATCAAAATTGAAATTATTGCAAATTCTTTTGATAGAAAAACGAGAAAAGTTCCAAGAGTCCGAATATTTCATGTTCAATTGAAAAGAATTTCCACTTTTTTCCAACTTTTCTCCATGATTGAATTTCTTTCAATTGAGTCGCGTTTTCTCGAGTCACACAATTTTCTTACCAACTTGTTTTGATAAATTACAATCGATTACTCATTACAACGCCTTTACTGAAAAACTTTTTTCTCCAGCTTTGAATATGTTCTTCTAAACGGCAAAATTTTTCCAAAAAAGCAATCTATCTGAATCATTTTCTTCTTCTTTTCACATTCAGAGCAACTATTTTAATCTATTCAGATGAGCAAAAAGTCAACGAAAGTAAAAGTTTTCTTCATCAATTTCATTTGATTCTTTAGTCAAACAATTTTGTTCATTCACTCACAATTCACATTGACTATCGAGTCATGTTTAATCTGAAATTATTGTTTCTTAAATGGTTCGAGTGAATCAATGAATAAAGATAAGGAAAACAATTGCTCAATTAAATGTTAACCAAATTAAATTTTCACTCATTTTCATTCCATTGAATCAACTTTGCCTATTCTTTATCTTTCCATCCAAGTAACTCAATTTCAAGCTCAACTAATATTTTACCTTTTCCTCTTTTCCCTCTTATCATCACTTCATTTCTATTCACAAATCAATTGAAGAGTAAAAATGAAGTCAATTTTTTCTTTGATTTGTCAATTCAAAAGAGTTATCTTTCATGATTTATTCCAATTTTCCCTTTTTTCCATTCCTCAGTAAAATTTCATTATTTTTACGGGAGAAAATATTTTCTCTTCTTTTCATCATGAATTCTTATTTACAAATGGAAAAGAGGAGAAAAAAAATTCGACTAGACTTTTCAAGCTGTATATTGTTCTTATTATTGTGATTATGATCATTTTATCTTTACATTCATTTCCAATTTTCTTTACCTTAACATCTTCATCTTATAGAGATTCTCGTCACAACAAGGAAGAAAAGAGGAAAAAACAAAAAAATCTAATAGCAAAGTTGAACAAGTAAAGAAAGGTACAGGAAGAAGAAAAGAAAATCACATTTCTTTTTCACTTGTTTTTCTCTTCTTCTTAAAACATCTTCATCTTGTTCTTTGTTTACTCATTGTTGTTCATCTGAAACTTGAACTTTCGTCACCTTTTACCTAAACATGAAACACTTTCTTCTGTTGTCCGTTCATTCATCTTGGATCAAACAGCAAGTTGACAGAAGAGACGAAAATTCCCTCTCTTTATCCACTCGAGTTCTAATTGTGCCAACTCAGCATTTATTCATCACAAGGAGTAACAAAAGTGAATCAAGTGAATAAAGTGAATCCTCAAACGAAGTTCATCTAAAAGCATGTTGATTGTGGTCATGACTTTCCGATTAAGAATGTCTTGAATGTAAAAGAGGCAACGAAGAAATTTTGAAAAGTACAATTTTCTTTTCTTACTTGCTACGAAAAGTAAATTACTTTTGAAGAGATTATTTTTTACTACATTAACTACATATTTACTTTATCATGTATGAATTTTTGTTTACCATTAATAGTAATATCAACCAATAATAAGAATAAAAAATTGTCTCTTATTTACTATAATTTCCTTTCTCCAAGTAAAGACAAAACTTGAAACCTCAATTCCAACTCCCTGTTCAACTCCCAGTGCAACTCCCAGTCTAACCTCCCAGTCAAAGTTAGCGTAAAACTCCCAGTTCTAAGCAATAGTTTTGCTCTTTTCTCTGTGTGATCAATCTTTTTTTTCCTTGCTCCAACTTTGTCTTGCCTCAATTCTTGAATTGCTTTACTTTGGTTATCAAAAAACTTTTCATTTTGCGTAAAGTTAAAGTGAAGACAAAATGAAATCCATTTATTGGTTAAACATACAAAATAGAAATGTGGTTGAGGGTAAATATTAGATTGCAAGGAATGTGAGAATTGTTGAAATAGAAGAGGACGATAAAGAGAAGATAAAAAAAGAGTTTTCTTTCGTTTTCTCATTTCACTGCCGTTACTTTTTTTTCATGTTACTTTTAGTTTTGATATATGCTGGAAAAACAAAGGCAACATTAGATAAGCAAAAGGCTTTGAATTAAAGGGAAGGAAATGGAGAAGAAGATTAATGCTCAAAGTGTAGAGGGTTAAGACTGGGAGTGAAGAGTGAACAGCATGAAACATGTTTGAGTTTCAAGTTGACTTTTTTTTTATTTCCTTTGCTACTTTGTTTCAGTTAACCATTTCATTTCTTTTTTACTCTCACCTTTGATGGTTTTTTGAATATTTTCCCTTTTCTTTCTTATAAATTATTCCCAATCATATGGAATGGAGTGAATAATGAAAAAGCCAAGATTATCTCATATAAAAGGGTTACGTTTCGAATTTTTCTTTTTCAAATTTTTTCGCTTAGCAAATGATCTTTTTATAGTCATGCCATTCCATCATGTCATACCATTCAACAACCACCATTTCATCTGTTTACCACAAGAGAGTTCAGTTCAAATAACACAACTGGCTTTGCTTCCATGATGATAGTAGAGTAGCGTTATAATTGGATGAAAGTTGGTAAGGATTATTATTTAACTGAATTTAGAATATTGATCCGTTTATAAGGGAATTTCCGAGTCTTTAACCCTGGATTATATTTTCATCATGAATTTTCAATTATTATAAATGTTAATAACTTTGCAAGATGTGAAAACTTGAAAATAACGAGCTTATCCAGCAAAAGATTTTCATGATGTTAATGGAATTTTTCAAAAATTTTCTATTAATTGGTTTGATTCTGCAATTTATCTCGTCAGATGATGCTAAATTAAGGTTCAAATTTGAATTCCTTAGTTTATCGCTCAAGGCGAGAAAATATTCAATTTAATTTCTAATTTAATCTAATTTTACATTTCAAGTTTGTTTTTAGGAAAACAGAATGAATGAACTTTACTTCTCTTCTAGATGATTATTTAATCTCACGTCTTGTCTGAGCCTTATTGGGCGGAAATGCCTGCAAGTTTGAAAGTGTGGAAAAATGATACAAAAAATCTCAATATCATTTACCCTGACAAGAAAAGATAATAGCTTCTGTTCTTCCTCAACTTTGACGCTTTCCCTTTGGCTTAACTTTTAACTTATCATACTTTGTCATCATGTGGAGCTCAGTACAAAATAGTTATCAAGATTAAGGATTTTCATTCTCCTCCACATGAGAAGCAAGTAAATTTTCACTCCTTGATGCTATTGTATTAAAGCATACTTTCAATGTTTAGGTGAAAATCGAGCGAGAAAAAAATGATTGAAGATGAGAAAAACTTTCTCGAAAATTTCATTCTATGGTTCAAAGCAGATTCAACTTGGTAACGAATCAGAAGCGATGAAAAAAGTAAGTTAAGGCAAACAAATTTCGTATGGATCCATTGATGAGTGATTTAAATATTTCCGACTTCAAAGTTGGTATATTGGCGCGTTGGGATTATCTGACAAAACTTGATGAGGCTAAAAACAAATCTTCTCACTGAAGGGCATTTCCAGTTTCGAAGCTTGGAATCACTAGACGAATTTCATGATAACTCAAAGCGTTTTCTTTTTTTTTTCAATATTTTTCTTTCGTTTTTTGCTCATTTAATCGCAATATCTCGATAAATACATTTATGTTTCACATTTACATGAGTTGGAAAAGAGAAGCGAGTTCAACAAATATTGTATGTTTTGATAAGTGAACTCAAACGGTGCATAAGGAGAAAATTTTTCAACCAGAAAACAAAAAGTTGGTAACAAGAACAGAAAAATGGCAAAACTAACTGGATAAAAGGTTAACAATTACTTTTCTGGTAAAGAATATGAAGAGTTGTAACAGAGAGAGAAAAAGCGAAAAGATAAATTCTGTGATTCTGTGATTCTTTGATCATCTTCAATCTCTATCCTTTTTCTTCTTGTGATGCTCTTCTCCCTGTTCAAACCTTTCATGGACTGTGAATAATAATATTGGTAAAAAATGCATGTTTACTCATGTGAATTGCCATTCTTTCAAATTTATTTTTCGACTCTAAACTTTTCCATCATTTCTTTCTCCCTTAATCATCATCATCATCATCATCTTCTTCATGCAACTTTTCCTTGTCTTTTATGAATAACTCGATGCAACTCTACTCACGATGATTCCATCTTCATGTACCTTCTCAAGCGTATTTGCTTTTCCACTGTCAGATAAACTTGCTTCCCTTTCTCCATGAAAAAACTTTAAAAAATTGTTTCATTTTGCCTGTAAATTTATTCAACAAAAGGTTGTCCAAATGAAAGGTCAATCCAAATAAAAGGGTTTTTGCTGTTCCCTTGCATTAGACGGTATTTATCAACATTAACATCAATATTGACGTTACTTTGGGTCAATTTTTTCTCTTCTCTACACTTCAACTTATCTTTTCTACATAAAACTTTGCAACTTTTTCTCAATGTAAAATCTTTCATCCATTCAATTTCATAGACTCATTCCACTACTTTACATTATTTACTGTAGACAAGTTTTGCATTCTACTTCAGAATTCAATCGAAAAAAGAGTGAAGAAAAAATAATTCCATGAATCATTCCAGATAACTTTCTCTTTTTTTCTTCTTTTCCCTCAAATTCTATCTAATTTTCTTGAAACTGATTTATTTCACCAATAGTCTAATTTTTCTTATCAAAATCCAATACTTGGATTGATTTTGCATTCGTGTGCAGATGACATGCTGATAAATCAAACGGGAAGGCATGAAATGTAAAGATGGAAAGAAAAGGTGAAAATGGATTGAGTTTCATGAAAGATTCTTGAAATTCTCACATTCAATGTTGAATAAAATTTACTGTACATTGTATTCTTTCATCTATCTCAGTGTCATCTTCAAATCAATTTCATTTTCAAAACTCTTATCCATTCCAATTAGATGGGTTTAACTCGGAATTGCAAGTTTGTAAAAGGAAGAAATCTGATTAAATTTATTTCTTCCAAAATACAACTTCTATTCTAGCGTTTCAAAGATACTTTCGAAAATAAAGCATTCTATACAAAATCACCGAAGTCACTAAGAATCGAGAACTTCATTACATTCAAAAGAAAATTCAAACCAAGAAAATTGCCGAAAATATCATGAGCAAGAATTTCCAAGAAATTTTGACTTTCCTTCAAACTGAAGCTCCAAGTTTTGCAGAAACTTGTGAGAGAAAAAAAATTAAAAATTTATCAAACGAAAAACAAAAAAGCCAGAAATATTAAAGAGCTCATAATTTACTCGCCTTTTGAGCATTTTTCATCCAAATAAAAACTCGTTCAGTCAAGTTATAAGATGTTTCAAGATGTTTACTCATTTTTTAAGAAAATTTTGCACAAAAATAACAAAATACTTTTAAACTTTCTAGTGAAACTTAGACTAAATTTTTGTCCAATTTATTATTTTCTATTGGAATCTTGATGCGTTTCAGCTCTTCATCGAGTTTCGACTCTAAGTTGACTCAGAATATTGACTGAAACAGGAATTATCAAGTATCGTTATCCGTTAAACATGAACGGTAAATACTCATGGTAATAATTATATCGATCAGAGTAAAGAGTAAAAAATGTTTATAAATAATGTAGATAAAAAAAGAGCAAGTAAAGCATAAAGTTAAGTGTCTGTCAATGTAAAGGATGAGAGTTCAAGTAATTTAATGACTTGAATGAGCTATAATCAAATTAAATTGACTCTATCATTAACCATTTCCGATTTAATATATTATCTTTTCAAAACACTAAACAGCAACGATCAAAATAAAAAAAAGAACGAACGCAAAGAGAAGAAGAAAAAACAAATAAATAACAAGAGCGAAGAGGAAAAAAGTTGCAACGTTGAAAGCTGGTAAAGTGATTGAGAATCGAGTTAAGAGTGAGAATCAAGTTTGCCAATCTCGAGTGAAGAGCAATAAAGATACATCAGTAGTTTGATCAAGAATAAAAATTGTGTGATGATTATTAATAAAAATATAATGATATAACAAGCAATATCCAAGAGGACGGATTGGATGGGGAATAATGGGATCAGATGAGAATGGGAAGACGAAGAAAAGTGTATAAAATGCAAAGTGAGCAGAAAAGCGTTTTTATATCAATAATGAAGAGACGTAAAATGATGATGAAAAAAGGGAAGGAAGAAGAAAGTAAATGATGAGTTGTTAAGAGGAAGGATAAGAAAGTGTATTTAGTTAAAGATATTTGCTTCTTTCGTCTCTTACCTTTGGAAGTATCGGATTTCATAATTTCATTATTGAATAACCAATGGATCTCAGTTACATTTGGATTCGCTTTGATATCACATTTCATTTTAATTTGACTAAAGATAACCGCTTCTTGATTTTCACCGGTTAAATTCAAGGCAACTTTTGGTTGAACTGGAAAAGAAGGGAAAAAATGGTAAAATTGTTTTTTTCGTTCTGTTTGAGGTGGACTTGAAATTGACATTTACAAAATTGAATGATGAAATATGGCTCATTTGGTTTACTCCTGAGTTTAGTTTCATAATATGCAGGGTAAAGGAAAACATTTTATTTGTTTAGACAAAGGAAATTTAATATTGCAAAATTTTTTAGAAGCTCATATGTTTAGAGTTAACTGTTTGGTGAAGCTTGAAGTTTTATTGAGTGCTGTTTTGAAATAAGTAGGTAAGTTTTCAATAATCGTGATAATGGGATGGAATGCGAAAATTTACAAAGTTAAAAGCGAAGTCATCATGGAGCAATTATCATGGCTTAGTGGCACTCTAATTACAAATAATTAATCAATGATAGCGTAATATTTGGAGATGTGGGTAATCATAATTTTCATGAAAGAAAAATATTCCTGTTTCAAAGTAAATAAGCCCGAATCAAATAAAGCTCCGAGGCAAGAAATATTGAGAAATATTCCATCTGGACAAGTTAAATTGAGATAACACGAAATTGTAATAAATGATTTCAGAATTTTTATCATAGTTTTCTCTCATAAGTTAGAATATGGAATTCTCTGTAAAATATCGCTCTTAATTTCATTGCCAGTTGATCTCAATAGAGAACGATTGCCTTTTGAAGTTGGTTGCATATCGAATTTTGATCGGCTATCTTTTATTGTCCATGAATAGTACAAGAACTGATAGAATAGGAATTGAGATTCTTTTATTCTACTAACAAGCGTAAGGTGAAATGTTGAGGTGAAAACAAATGATGAGATGTTAGACACTTTGCATGCACCCTTTTGTGCTGTTGTGTATGTTACATGAATATTACTAACCTGATTACCGGCAACATTTATTGGGTGATGGCAAAAGAAAAGTAAAAAAAGGGATTATCGATAATAATTTGCTTTTCTCATTATTGCGATCAAGTTGAATGTTAATGTTTCCATGAGACCAATTCAAATAGATTGAGGGAAAAAGGCGAAAAAAACAAACTAAAGGAAAGTCTACAAATGATCATTAATGATGATAGTTAATTTACTTTGTATTGATGTTGATTAACAATGAAAGGTTAACATGGATTTGATTGGATGTTTTCATTTTCGTTGTTTACTCTTGCTGGTAAATGTTTGGACTCGAATAATAGAGTAAAGATTATCATGGCTAGTAAAAAGCAGAGAGGAAAGGGAATGGATAAACATTAAGCCAAGATATTGGCCAAAGAGTCAATCATGGGAATTGTTTTGCAAATCAAAGTCACTTGAAATGGCATAAAATAATGATTAATCTCAGCGAGTGACATTTAAATCGTTGCCTTGGTTTGCAAAGTTTATTAAAAGTTTGCCTAAAAGCTAAAGGAATAAATTGTCGGACAAAATTAGAATTAAATTGAATAACATTCAACTGTTTGCTCAAGGTAAATGGTAAAAGTGAAAGTATTAACCAATGGTTGGTAAGTCTAGAGTAAATATTTAGCAAGAAAGAGACAAAATTTCAATTTCGACCAACTTTACCTGTTTCAATTCATCAACTCGCCTTGAACTTGGACGAGAAAAAAGTCATTACAGGGATTGATAACAGCCACTATAACCAATCCCTGTAATGAGCAACACTTAACTAACAGTTTCCATCGATTTTGTCCTAATCTTTCAGTGCAATTTTATCAACTCGAGAAAATGTCGATTTTTTCGTGCTTCGAGTTGATTTTTCTTGATATCATGAATTGCCGACACTTGTTGTTGATTCGACTTTACTGTATCGACTCTTTTTTATGTTCATTATGGCTTAGCATAATTGACGAGCAATTAAACAAATAATTGATGAAACAGTTTATTGATGAGGATGCAAAAACGAAAAACCAAATGTTGCTTTAACATGATTAAATTGAACAACACACTTAATACTTCTATTTATAAAGAAAGTCTAAAAGTTTTGTGCAAATTCAATTACAGAATTTTTTTCTTCTTCTAATGTTTTAAAACTCTAGTCAAAACTCCTGCTTTTCCCATGTTTACAACATTGTTCTCTAATGAGACTAGCAAAATCCACTTTTACTCCTTTACCTCTTTACAATCATTTGTCATCAATTGAATTAAACAAATTATCCTTAATAGATCATGTCTATAAATACCTAACTCTTGAAAGACTGAGTAAAGTAAAGGAGAAAAAAAATGTTCAGAAAGAGACAAAAAATATTGTTGCAAGAATTTGAAGTAAAAAAATCTTTCAATATCATTACAAGATTCATGTTCATGATAAAGTTGCAATTTTTTATCGTTCAATTGCAAAAGTACAAGTATTATAAAGGTAAACTCTGAAGAAATGAGAAGAGAAAAAAAAGAGTTAAATGAAGAAGTGCAAAGAAAATTTTCTTCATGATATTATTCAACAAATGAGATCAAAAAATGAAGAAGTAAAGAGAAGAGAAAAAAGAGGCAAAAGTAGAGCAATGAAATGTGCTCAGATTAGAGGTATAGAGAGGAAAAGGGTGAAATGATTGGGACAGAAAAGAAAAGAAGAAAATGATGAAAAGGAAAATTTTTCAAGAGCCTGAACTTTTATGATAGAAAGAATAAAGAAGAGGCAAAAAAAGGATAAACTTACAGTAAACTTGTAAGAACCAGTTATCGAATAGGCTACTGTTAATTATCTTTGGATTTTCGGCTCGACATATCAAGGGAAGTCCATTGTGTGAAGGCATTGGAGTAAATGATACTAAAGAAGAAGTTGTCTCTTCATCAACTGAATCAATAGACCTGATGAAAATGATGTGGAAAAGGGTTGAAGAGAAAGAAAAGAGAATCAAATTAGGTGACACTTTTAGGGACAATTTAATGACTATAAAAAGGTGTTAACCTTGCTTCTTTCAATTCTCGTCCATTGATGAACCAGGTTAATTTGGTTGACGGTTTGGCACCTTTAGATTCACAGGTTAGCTCAGCCTTTTGTCCAGCTTTTAAAGGCTTCTTGGGATAAATGTTGACTTGCAAAGGCCGCACTGCAAGATGAACCGTAAGAAGGGAAGAAAAGGGAAAAAGAAAAGCAAATATAGAATCAATTGAGTTGCGATTAAGTTGAGATTTCATTTTATCTCTTTTTTTCGTTGCTTCGTTTTTCCATGGTAATCATGTTAATACACTTAATGAGAGTCGACTTTTTCTTTCTACTTTTTTTTCTTTGCTTTCTTTACGTTTACATCCAAATTCAGTTCATCTTCATCAATGTTGTTATGTGATGTGGATAAATGATTATCATGGTTACATTGCATCCTCACCTTCATTTATCAAACTATCAATGAATAATAATATAACAAGATGAAAATAAATGAGGTTATTTCGCTGATTCTTAGTCTTTTTGTTTTTTCTCTCATTCAAACGTTTCTCTTGTTTTCTCATTTCATCTTGCTTTTCATTCATTTGTTTCACCTTTATCCGGGTTTAAATGTTAATGTAAATTGTATAAAGTGCAAGAAGTAACGGGTTAATCAGAAACGATAAATAATTTGCTTGGCCTCAATAATCATTTGGTTTTCCCAATCTTTTGCTTCTTGAGTATTTTCTATTTTAAATGAACGAGACGCTAAATGATAGAGTTCTGGTTTTGAAAATTTCTTCTCAATTTAACCATTTATTCGTTTTATGAGATGATTATTTACACAAACTTGAAAAATGATTCATCATCATTTGAACTTCACCATGTTCGACCATTTGTCTCAACAAGAGGATTCAGATACTGTAAAGTTGCGAGAAATGTTAGTTCACAGAATCAAGAATTGCATTCTGATTACAGAATTTTTGATAAACTTTCAAGCTGAGAGTGCTTTGCTTCAAATTTTTGAAAACACTTTTGCGGTAAAATTTTCTGTTTCGATGCTCAATAATTCGTTCTCATGTTCATTCCAGAGTTTAAAAGATCGAGAAAATTTAACTATAAAACTGTCACTCAGTTGATGATATTCTCACTATTCGTAGCTAACAATGGAATCGAAAACGTTTCTTATTCGTTTTCATTTGTTCAACTCATTTTTGAGTTCAAGTTGGTTCGTTGGTAAGCAACTTGTATGTACCGACACCAAGATTTACCGGATCAATTGAACCCATAAATCAAATATCAAGGCTAGTCAATTCATCTTGTGCTATGCATAATACTCTTGTCAGTACTGTAGAGTTGAGGTAAGTTGAACAGATTTCCATGCACTACACTTAGTATTCAAAAGCCATTTGAAAGGAAAATCCTCAGAAAAGTTCAGATAAAAAATTGAAGGTCCTTAGATTTTCTTTTCAGTTCAAATTTGAATCAAATAAGGTCATTCGCGGTATTGCAGAGAAAGAGATTTTTTGAGCTCATTCTTTGCACACTTTTAATGAATACGTTTGGAGACTTTTTTAACGTATTCGTATTTGTAGCTAAAATATTTCAAGAAGAATTTTCGCTTTATTTCTCTTGAGATAATTAGATTATACAACCATTAATTCTATTAATATGATTGATCAGATTAGTTTGAATATTTTTTGTTTTCTCTTTACTTTTCAACATTCTGATAACACCAGCGCTACTAATATTGTTGTTTCAACGTATTAATAAACAAAAGAGTCTTTCAGTAAGTAATATAGCAATAATGATGAGATTTTCATTCACTAAGATTTTTCTCCATGAAAACAGATTAGTTGCTATAAATGGAAACTCGCAGTTGAAATTGCAGAAAATTCAGCAATTGAGATTAAACTTTCAAAATACATTAAAGGAATCAAGAGAAGCAAAGATTTGACACATAAAACAAATAATAAGAAATGAATCACCACTCATATGGTGAAAATGGCAAAATCTTGGCATGAAATGAAATATCATATCCGGATCCGACATCTGACTCTCAGTAAATAATTTCTGTTGGTACAATGTAACCTTCGATTTTCATTATTCGAGTTTACTTAGCTTTAACAATGATTATTTCTGTTAATTGCACGAAACCAATCAATTTGAATGCAAATGATAGAGGGCGATAAGGAAAACTGAATGGAACTGAAAAAGAGAAACCTTCTGATTACCATTTTCATCAAGGGTAAAGATCGAACCAATAGGTGAAAATAGATTTTGATGAAACTAAGTGATGCATACGATCGGGCAAACATCCCAATAATTTTCGCTTGATTTCGTTAATATCTCCAATTCAAAAATTAATTGTTTAAAAATTGACTCAACATTTAATAGTTGTAGTTAATAAGGTAGCTAAGTCTTGAAGTATATATGTAAATAGATGCCAATTTCCGGATCCGACATCTTTGTCTCTATCAACAACTTATATTGATTCAATGAAACCTTCCATGCTAATGCTTCGAGTTTACTTAGCTTTGCCGATGACTAAACCTCTATCTGTTATCTAATGCAAGCTAATTAAGTCGAATGACAATTTAGGGGTTGATAAGTTCATTGGTGTTCGAAGTAATGCAGACTGTTCAAACTTGAAAATAGCAGTGTGGTAAAAAACAGTTTCATTTTAAGAATTTTATAAGTTGAAGTTTTGTGCTTGCCGGCTTTTCATGTTTGGTTTTGAGTTCCAATAAAAAAGAAAATAAAAATGAAATTACCAAAAATTCTGTCTCCGATCTTTTTCTTCTCTCTAATGGCAATTGTTGGTTCGGCGTTCAGCGATGATGACTTACTTGGTGGTCTTCTTGGTTCCGACTTATTTGGGGATTTACTTGGTGGTAATAACTTAACCGGTGGTATTCTTGGCGACGATTGAACGGTTTTCAGTGACTAGTTCGGTTAAACACCATATCTGATTGTATTCTGGCATTTTTAAATGCATTGTTTGCAATTTAATCAGAAATGAAACAAAATAAAATAGGGCTCTATCAATAGAACTAATAATATCACTATTGTCCAATTAATGTTCTCATGCAACTAGAGTTGCTCGGTTTCGGTTTTGGTACCGATATTTATAGATAATTGTATTAAATAGACCATCGATTCAACGCTGACGATTCCGATAACTCGATTCTAATAAATAGTTGAGTAAGGTACAAGAAACTAGCAAAGCTGAAGATCAGACGAGACTTGCTTTTGATGAACGGAAACACTCTTAAGAGCAACTCATTACACCAATAGTTATCATTTCTCTTCCTCAATTTAGACATTTAATTTTTGAATATTACATATCTATATGCATACTCAACTCAGTTGCTGAATTTTCTGTGATTTCAACTTTTCGTTGCCATCTATAGCAGCTAATTAGTTTTCATGGAGAAAAATTTTAGCGAATGTGATTATTAAAAAAATATTTGTGGTCCAAAGATTGAACGTCTTGTAATGTTTTACATTGTTTTTTGTTTTTGCTTGCATTTAGGCACAAAAAACTTTGATTTACCTTTGCCTACAGTGAACTCTTTCAAGAATAACAATAGCAAATGAATAAGATAGACAATGAAGATAATAAATACATGCATAAGAGGTGCTATCAATGGTAGCAATAATATAGCAATAATAATAACAAGAAAACCCGCCTTTTAAATGAATTTCATTTGCCCTGTTTATGTTTTCAATATACACAGACCTGCCAGTAATTTCGACTGCAAGTAATTTAGATTAATTTTTAAATGAGCCCTGTTGAAAAAGGATAACATTTTATTTAGATTTCACCTAATTTAAGTTCCAATTTTTTAGTTATTAATTCACTTAATTTAATTTTTTCGTGAAATAACAAATATGCTTGAAGCAAAATCTGGCTTTTATTCACCACTTTTATCCAACTTTTTTACCGTTTTTTCACCGTATTGTCGACCATTTTGACCAACACCACCAAATCAAACATCATCACTTTTGTAAGACTTTTCTCAACACAATTAGCCACTACTTTCATTCACCACTTTTGAGTGACTTTATTTCACCGTCTTTTGACCCTCTTTTTCATAGTCTTTTCACGTTATTTTTCACCACCAAATCTAACAGATCCTCTAAATCAATCAAATCAAATATCATAATTTTTTGCCTAAACATTCCTCAACAAAATTGTCCACTACTTTCATGCACCTCTTTTGTGTTCTGTTTCCACCATTTTTTCACTGTCTTTTCATGTCCTTTCACAGTCGTAGCACCGCCAGATCTAACGCATCCACCGAATAAAACAGATCAAATATCATCAATTTCTAAAGGGACTTTTCTTTACACAATTGGCAACGTTGAGTGAATTTATCCCAACGTCTTATCGCCTTCTTTACATAGTCCCTTCAGCCTTTTTCATAGCCTTTTCACCCTCTTTTTTTATCGCCCCTTCAGCGTTTTTCTATCGCCTTTTCACGCTCTTTTCATCGTCACTTCATCCTTTTTCATTGCCTTCTCACGCACTTTTCAGCCTTTTTCCTTTTCTTTCCACCCTCGTTTCTTCTTCCCTCCAGCCTTTTTCCATCGCCATGCCACGGGCTTTTCAGCCTTTTCCCATTGTCTTTCCACCCTCTTTTGAGTGGCTGTTTCCACCGTTTTTTCACGCACTTTTGAGTGGCTGTTTCCACCGTTTTTTCACGCACTTTTCAGCCTTTTTCCATCGCCTTTCCACCCTCTTTTCATCGTCCCTTTCAACCTTTTTCCAACGCCTTTTCACGTTGTTTATATCGTCACTTCATGCTTTTTCATTGCCTTTTCACGGACTTTTCAGCCTTTTTCCATCGCCTTTTCACCCTCTTATCATCGTCCCTTCAGCCTTTTCCATTTTTTCCACCCTCTTTTCATCGTCCCTTCAGCCTTTTCCATCGCCTTTTCACGCTCTTTTTACCGTCTCTTCAGCCTTTTTCCATCGCCTTTCCACCCTCTTTTCATCGTCCCTTCAGCCTTTTCCATTTTTTTCACCCTCTATCTATCGTCACTGCATCCTTTTTCATTGCCTTTTCACGCACTTTTCAGCCTTTTTCCATTCTCTTTCCACCCTCTTTTCATCGTCACTGCAGCCTTTTCATCGCCTTTTACGCTCTTTTTCATGCCTTTTCATTATATTTTCCACTACAC